ACTTCCGGGTCTATCCGTCACCGTCACTCATGCTGCTGTGAGGTGGCAAGATTCGAAACTTCGGATAACGTTTTTTGGAGTAACCCTGTGCTGATGTATTTCCCTTCGCCTCTTACGACATCCAGGGGAAGTGTGGGGTCTGATTCTACATATTCTCCTGTGTCCTCTTATATTATAATGTAGGTAAACGCAGTGGACCGGCCACGTGACATTTGGTACACAGACAATGCGCGTAGTAAATAAATGTTACGCGTATTATTAGACGCGGTTCAGTCACCCGCGCCGCTCTCAATCGCGGGTGGACAAACTTGCTCTAATGCATAAATATGCTCGTATACAAAATATGTATTTACAGCATCAAGGTTCTCCCACGAATATACAAAAGAAGCGAAAATTTTCCACAATCTTCTCTGGGTTTAAAAGTTGCTTTGTATTTCTTAGACTCGTTTACTTTCTTGATACATATTTAGAAATATATATAAAATTATACAAGATAAATATTAACTTTATCTATGCATTTCCGACACATTTTTATTCTTACAGCTTTTCATCGCTGTTGTTCAATACACATATTTTCACCTACTACCTACATCAATACAACGTAGCGATCATCAAGAAATCTTCCTTATAGGCAAATACTCTTAAGGTGCAGACATTTATCCAGTTCAGATTAGCTCAACGGTTTCAATTATGCTTTTTCTTCGTCGCTCTTAGGCACCTATAGGTACACGTTAATTGTTGTCGGTTTAGTCAAACGTCACTAGTCAGTAGTCAGGGCAGCCGACGTGATTGACTAACTGCCTCCTTGGACAGGATCTAAAAACTCTTGACGCCACCATCGGCGTTCCAAATAGCGCAGTAAGGCGCAGAACACAATCAGATACAATAAGCTACTTAGGTACAGGGGGTTCAATTCTGTAGTAATTCGTGTCAGTCTTAGAGCTTACTTTAACGTTAATTTTTGAAAAAATATCATCAAGGAAATAGTCGATTAAACTACGAAAGAACAGATTATTAGCTCAGATTTAATAGCCACTGTTCGCATTTCATGAACTCATGAGTTTGAGAGATATCACTTATCGTATGTTCGCTAATAGATGATGAAGATATGATGAAAAGAACTATTGGAATAGAGTCCATTGATTGGGAGATGCCAAAATCTAACTGTGAACAAACGAACAAAATGAGAAAAATCTTTTAATAGCACAATATACCCTGTATCCTTAAGGAGATGCTTAGGCGCCTAATGGTGAGATCTAACCCTAGTAAAAAGCAATCAAAAGGGCGCGAGTATTCACGGTCTCGGGTAGCGCCACTCATGCGCAGGGAATCCGAGGGTGCCCGTATTTATAGACGCACCATCGATTTCAGTCTTGTTTGTACCACTCTCTATTGTTTCTGTGTACTAATTGGAGTTACAGTAGTTACAGTTTTTCGCACGTTAGTTGCTCTATTCATTATTTTTATTCTGTAGCGAAATTTCCTTGAGTGAAAAGCTTCTGATGCAGTTAATTTTTACAAGGGACAAATATAAGTCTACGTTGCACCAACTTACTTTAACTTTATCAAACGTCAAAAGCCTGTCAAGCTCCATCCAAAAACACCGGTTATGGTTATAGTTACTTTTAATGTAAGGTGGTGCAACGCAACCATTTTTGTTGCCAGCAACATTATTTTGCGTGAATTATGTTAGGATTTCAGAAATACCGGGTAACGTTTAAAAGTACCGGGTTAAACTGTTTCGTGAATGAATTTAATTTCAATTTGCCAGTTTAATCAGAAACTCTGCTAATTAATTCCCACATATGTTTCCGTACAACACGTTTCAAATCCGAGCGTGCATATAAACTTCTCGTCAAGTGTGTTTGCACGCGCATACGTTCGCAACTTGGTGTCGACTAATATTAAGCATTAGTACGAATCAAACGGTTGCAACTGAAGACAACTTTGATAAACATTATTGTGTGGTACGGTGTTATTTTGAGATAAGTACGACGACTTTTGTACATGGGCATCAAATTGCAGATAATAGAAGGTATACACAGGACGCAGAAAGGACGAAGGACAACGAAAAATTATCGTTTCATGTACTTCTTACTTCCTAGTCCCTACTCGTACAGTGTTTACTGTAACTTATTATTTGACTTGTAGACTAGGATATCAAAGGCACCTACAGTTTTCGTACTTTGCGACACACTTTATGCATTTTCAATTGAGATTCAAGTAGGCAGTTGTGATGATTTATAAGTTATTATCACAGCCAGCAAAACAGTTGAGTAGCATCGTATACTGACACCATCTGCCCACTTTTTTTTTAAATCATTAATTTTAAAAATGCAATTAGCAGATGCAAATGGATGCAAGTGTGCCAGGGGAGGTATCCGGGTTACAGTTTATAGCCGCGGTGACAACGCGACACTTCTTATTTCGTCTTCGCGACTGTTACTTTGCCACGGGTTGATATGAGTATAACAAATATTGAATAGTATCTCTTGCGATATTATATTTTCTATAGTAAACCAAAACTTCGCGAGGATAGTAAATAAGTCCAGAATATCCCAATATTAGCACGTCACAGTGACACTAGAGATAGCTGGGCTTTAGATACACCGAACAAGCCTAACATGTCCATATAAAAGCTCTATAAATAAATAAATATCCTTGGACATTTTACACTACGCCTCTAGCCCCAAACTAAGTAAAGCTAAGGGTACTAGAACAAGTTTTGAGATAATATGACCAATATTAGTAATGTGTGAATTTTGGGACACCCCGTTTTCGTCATTATTCATGATTCAAGAAACTTTAGATGTCTACGGAATCTATTTTTGTAAGAATCAATACCTATCAAAAACAAAGCTAATATGTTTGTCTTAAATTAATAATGTAAATCTCGCATCAGCAGTCAGAAAACAGCGTTCCTTCCAAAAGCGTTACTAACATTACAGTTTCAGAGTATTTTTTAATTTGATATGTTTTCACAACATCGGTTATTTTTATCATTATAAACGATATCACTAAACAGCATTAATCAGGGGAGGAGTTTATGTCCGTGTGACACGATTATACATAGCAGTGTTGACAACACGCTGCCATTTCTAATTTCGTTGATGCAAGAAGATGTGTTAGAATTTATGCGTGGAGAAGACAAGTTTTAGTTCACTCTATGATTGGAATAGGTCTGTTTAGTAATGGATTGACATAATTATTAGAGCATAGTCAATTCAGGGTAGAGTAGAAGGCACCATGCGATGGACAGACCAAAACAAGATTGCTGTGCCCTGTACGAGTGCACTAAGTTGACCTCAAAATGGTATAAGGTGAACAATATTCCAATGACACTTCATGATGACCACGTCAAGAGTGTAGCGATTGAGAATCAGATAAAGTCTGGTCGCGGAGCACGTAGAATTTTTTCCAATGACCTCAAGCTACCTATCCTTATAGAGCGATAAGGATGGGTAGCTTGGGGTCATTGGACAAAATTCTACGTGCTCAGGGACCGGACTATAGAAGTTAAATTCCGACAGTTAGACGTAAGATAGCCAGTTCCTCTGTGTTGAGGATTCTGGGTGAAGCTCGCTTCCAACACTTTCCATCAGGTGAGATGCAGGTTGCAGTTGTGGGTATAAAAAACATCCAAATCATACCTCATCACGACTACTTGACATATTATGTCAAGTGTGTAGCGATTGAGAATAAGATTCACCACGCAGACGCGCCCCACCAATGTTTGGTGGTCTCGGTCGCGCGGGGTGCGGGGAGTTTGATCCGAGCAATCCGAGCGTCATTATTGTAGTGTGCGTGTATTCATGGATAATTTAGCGTGTACCGATAACACTCGAATATTAGCGGAAGAATGGTGGGGCGCGTCTTCGTGGATGAAACGATCTAATAATAAAATAATAAAACCTTTATTACCAAAGATTACAATATACAGCTTACTAGTTTTTTATTAAAATAAGTCAAATCTTAAACTCAAGTCCCCAAGATACAGGATTACCTAGTTTGGGGACTACTAGTAAGCTGTATATTGTAATCTTTGGTAATAAAGGTTTTATTATTTATTATTGAATGATCAAACGAACTTACCAAGTGAAGTTCGATCTAAATTATCCTGTTTTCGCCGAAGAGATTTATTTTACCATGTAGTACCCCTGTACGACAACCCAATCCGCACACAATATTCAGCGTAGTAGTATTAAAAAACAAAAGAGCGGGCAACCCCACCCCTACCACGCTGTGGGCTCGGTGTCCGAGCGGTCTCATTATATTTAGAGAAGAGATGACATTGACGTTTACCTCCAGGGAAGAAGATATAGAAATCTTCGGGTTGGGAGGGACCTTAAATCTCTTCGGCGAAAACAGGATAATTTAGATCGAACTTCACTTGGTAAGTTCGTTTGATCATTCAATTGTTGGGTCTAATTCTCGTCACTACACTGCACAACTTAAAATAATTACGTTTTTTGTCGGTAAAAACGTCCTGGTGACGTCACTTAAGCATTTTTCTTATACTGCGTGCGGTCGTTGCGCGTGCGCACAAAGGAATGAGACCGCTCGGACACCGAGCCCACAGCGTGGTAGGGGTGGGGTTGCCCGCTCTTTTGTTTTTTAATACTACTACGCTGAATATTGTGTGCGGATTGGGTTGTCGTACAGGGGTACTACATGGTAAAATAAATCTCGGAGGCGAAAGCAGGATAATTATTATTATCTATACCAGTCTTTCCCAAAGTGGGCGATAACGCCCCCTTGTGGGCGCTGCAGGCTTAAAGGGGGGCGGTAAGAGACCCAGAAAAAAAGTCGGGACGTTGTGTAGAGGCTTGGGAGGCGTCATTTACTAGGAGGTTTCTTAGACACCGACTGAGCACTCGACTCTCGACTACAAATGGGGGGGCGCTAAAAAGAATTTATTCTCAAAGTGGGCAGTAGACAAAACAAGTTTGGGAACCGATGATCTATACATAAAAGTAGCGAAGTAAAAGCTGCGTGCTCACCTCTTTCTCCTGGTTCAGGCGCGCGTCGCCGTGGATCTTGTCGCGCAGCGCCACCAGCTCCAGCGGCCAGCTCGACACCTCCGCGTCCGGGTCCGACAGCAGCACCTGCGCCGCAAGGACCCGTTACACATACGCTATTATACCGCCTACATGACAAAATAATAGAAGAACCAAAGTGACTGAAATAGCCCGCAGAATCGCTAAAATCAAGTAGCAGTGGGCGGGGCACATAGCTCGTAGAGCTGATGGCCGCTGGGGCAGGAAAGTTCTTGAGTGGCGGCGACCACGAACCGGAAGACGTAACGTGAGCATGACTCCCACTAGGTGGACTGACGTTCTGGTGAAGGTCGCGGGAGGTGCCTGGATGCGGGCGGCGCAGGACCGGTCATTGTGGAAATCCTTGGGGGAGGCCTTTGTCCAGCAGTGGAGATCTTTCGATTGAAACGAACAAACGACAAAATATTGCTTCCCCTTACAAACTTCTACCCCAACTTCTAATCTTGCACATTATAACCTGACATCTTTACGGTTTTAAGCGATTTTGTGAAAAATATTACTGGCCGGTAACTAAACGGGACTATTCCCACCTCTCGTTCCCACCACTGCAACTCCTGTGTAGCCAGGATCTACAGCTTGACTGCCATAAAAACCCAACCAATGAAGGTCAAGTTAGGCAGGTAGCTAATAGCTCATAAGATAGGTCCCCATAATTGATGTTTATTGTCCATGGTGCATATCTTTTCAAAAAGGTTACTAAACCTTTGTTTGTCACCTGTCATCCGCTTTGCAATGGAGGGAAGTCGAACCTTAACTTCGAACTTTTTCATAATCGTCTGATAATTTCGTTGCGGGTCCAATGACAGTTTAACTTTCCCCCGGGGCAAACTTGACGTTCACTGGTTGGGTTTTTATTGGCTACACAGGAGTTGCAGCGGTGGGAACGAGAGGTGGGAATAGTCCCGTATTTATAACCTGACTCTTTACGAATTTGCCACTCTGGATGTGTTCTGCGGTCAGGTCAAAGTGAACGCAAGCAGTGTTATCGATCATCGCTGGATTTGGACACTCAGATAAGGTTCAATATGGCGAACTATATTCCCGGGTATGCAAGTACCTACACCACGAATCCGCGACTATAATATCTTCAAATATGTACATAAACATTATTGCGAATTAGCCGATTCAAGCCTTCATAAGTGTCAAGGGAATTTTCTGGTTCATGAAAATTAATTACAAGATCATTTATTTTAAGTTTGTGGGTATACAAATTCATAGGCTATTGATACCTACTGGATTTAAGTACACCATAACGGTTTGGTGCGAAAATGAGCTAGGAAAAGGAATGACTAAACTAAATGAAGAATAATATTTTGATCAACACCTAAAAATTTAATGACCCAATGTGTGCCTCATACAAACCACTAATAGATAATTATCACGAAAATGTAAATCTACTTACTATTAAATCGCCCATCTCGGCAAACTAAAGCACAGTATTAACAACCACTGCATCCAAAGTTCTAAGCTTTACTTGACATATTCACAATCACAACACAAACTTACGAGCAAGTATGTATAATGTCACCGACTAACTGAGGCAAGAAAACAAATGAAGTACGTGCTATCAAATGTGTCTGACCCCAGGACTCTTATCACACTGATTGATGCGTCCAATAACCAACAACAAGGCATTATTGCTCATTAAGTAATTGTTGTTTACTTTCTGCTAAATGTCTTCTAAAATTATAGCACTGATAAGAGCAAAACTCATTAAAATCGCATCTAGTTAGGGGTAATTAAAAACAAACAATACTTTGGGAAATACCTACTGAATCCTCACATCGTTTTTAATAACAGTGTTTACATTGAATCCTAATTGACTTCAATACAAACAGTATTTTCAAGACTCATAAACTAATTTTGTGTTCAGCTCAATAAAAAATACCACTCCAATTATCATCTGCTTATCTGGCGAAATTTCTTTTATTCAGTATAATGAAGTACAAAAGAATATAATCAAATAAATATAAATTTAGAGTCAAAGGACAATGTTCAAGCTATAAATATAATCTCTCTTTACTTAATACATTGATACGTATATTTAAGTTGTGGAAAATTACCAAGTGATTATTCACCTGCAAAGACAATCGCGTACAAAACACAAATAAATGAAAAAGTGCCGGGAGACAGCGTGGGGCAAGAATGGGGTCAACACCGCGAAAAATGTACTCTATCGTCTGGCGCCGGGCCAGCGAGCTTTGACAATATTTCAAAATGCCTATGACCTACCCCAGACGTCGATGACTGTACCGCGCGTCTGAATTAGAATCGGCGTGTCGTTTTTGTTGCGCTAAGCCATTTTATTGGTTAACTTACATTGCGCGGGATAAAAATGTATACGAGTAAATGTCACTGTGACTCTATGCTATTGAAATAAAAGCTATTATTCTATGAATGTGGAAATGTGTATTTGTCATGTGTGAAAACTTTCAAGGTTACCACAACAAAGTTTTAAAACACAGATAATATTCAAAACAGAATTGGTTCTATTTTATAAATTATCGACGATTTATCTAGTTTTATTTATTTACAAAATAAATATTTTAGATAACTTACACGTCGCTTAGAAAATGGTAGATGATGACGATCAGGCATCACTTTACATTGTCAAAAATATCAATAATCACACACAAAAAATTCACTATTCACTGAAAGTACAAATAACCTCAAAATCACATGTCACAGGTAACTACGATTATAGTCCGGGAGCGCGGAAGTATTGTTGTACGTACTATACAACCCCGCGGCAGTGACTAGCGAAACCTTGCTCTATTTCGGCGCACCATTGAGGTGGAAGTGCGGTGGTCGCGGCGATATTAATGGTGCAGTGAGACTCCTGGCTCCTGGCCAATGCTAGGGATCTTCGGGAGCGCGTAAAAGCTCCTCATCATAATTATGTCGAAGGACTTGAGTAGAGATAGAGATATAAATATTAAAGTTTTTGAACATTACCATGATGTATAATAACGAATTTACGATTATCATAAATCAGAGTGATTGTTTTTGCAAGCTTAGGAAGGTTGTCTTGATTCAATCATACGGAACTACCACATGTAGAAATCGGTATTAACGAATAAATTCAACCTTCGACCTCATCTTTTCCATCAGCAAGTTGATGCATTTAAGCACACAGTGTTCTTAATCATTGCAAACAAACAACTAACAACCCTATGCAGTATGCTCCTCGTGAGAATCGAAACCTGGCTCTCTAAACACAGAATTTTATCTAATCGTAAGTTCGTAACTTGTTCTTGCAGCAGAACAATAACTATACAGTACATGCGAATACGAATATAAACGGAAAAATAGAACAACAATTTAAAACTGGCACGTTCTACTTTTTGTAGAGACCTCTTAAATCTTCTTGAGCCAAAAACAATATCTTTATATCAGTGTGATAATAAAGCAGTATGAAAAACGAAGAGATTGCGCAAAAGCATAAAACATGCTTTATGACGGATATTTGCTAAACGCGGGATTTATATTGCATACTCGCTGTATGGGTTTAGTGATCCATAAACTAATATTATGAGCTTTTTAGTGGACTATATTTACACTATGGGGTTTATTTGAGCACGTCAGAGGATATTACGTCAATGGCTAGTTTGCTAACTAGAATGCTAAATAAACTTATTTTTGAACCAATACAGTTCAAATTCGCCTTTTTGAGATTTTGTAATATGTTCGTTTTCATCCAGGTTTCTCCCGCGACCTCCGCCAGATCGTCGGTCCACCTAGTGGGAAGCCTAACCCCGCTACCGGAAGACGTCGCGTTGTAAGAGGTATTTTCATTTGTAGAGGTCATAAAAAAATATGTTATTCTTAAGAGTTTGAGGAAATGTGGAAATGATGTGCCCGATCCATAAGTAGGTATTATGATTTAAGAGCTGAAAGTGAATTTAAGTTCGATCCAGTAGGTACAGCCAAAGAATAAATAGAGAATTGTATGAAATCTGTCAGGCGATTCAGAACTTATCGATGGCTTAATTATGGAACAATTCGATAAAAAGAATGAAAATGATATGAGAATCACGATCGATTAGCCATCGAGTGCTTCTGAATCACCTAACTGACCTTGCTGTAATCTGAATTAGTGTTGCCGCTCGATGGACCACCACAGCTCGATAAAATTTAAATAATGTACAGTAGGTATTGAGTTTCTTCTATTTTCTTTACGACTTATTGTCAAGTACAATAAAATATATCGATATATGAACTACCGATAATTCGGACAACACTAATACAAATCAAGCCATATTACTCAATGTCCGAGGTGAGCGACGGAACGCGTCATGAAACGACGCGATTGTGTCACGTCGCTTCATAAAGCGTTCCGTAATGCGACCAATTATTACTTCACGTGACGTATGACACATGTCATGACACGCAACCACGTAAGCCAGGGCTGACCTGGGGTGTCGCAGTATAATTCGAAGGGCGTCGTAAGGCGATTTAAAATAAATGAGAGTGGTGGCAATTTACAAACTTTCCCAAGGGTGTCACAGAAAAGAAAAGTTTGGGAAACCCTATCGTAGGCTACTATTATACAACGACTATTGGTCTTTCACCTAGGACAATGGTTTACAAAGTTTTAGAGGCTGAAATCACCACAGCATCGTGTACACACCTGTATCTGCTCCTGCAGCTGCTGCACGACGTCCTGGCGCACTTGCTCGACGCGCGCCTCGAACCTCTTCTGTCCACACACAGGCGGTTAGTCGCATTCCGGCATGCAGGAGAAAGAGACGCATTAGGTGGGTATGTACAGTGCGTGTGGTGGACGAGTCGATAGATATATCGATACCGGTTTTACCGGAGTGAGGTAAAAGAAAAGAGAATGAAGTAGGATATTGTATATTATAGTTGTAATGTGTGTGTGGTATCAAGGAAGAATCAAGTGTCCTCGAGTATATTTTTTTTTATCTTTAAACTCCTAGGTGCATCTTAGATTGTGTTTTAGGAGGTGTATGTATTCATTCTCTTAAGTTTTATCAACATAGTTCATTCAGAAAATGCCTAAGGAAAGGCTTATATCAAGTGTATGTCTTTTAAGTGGTGAGTAGTGTGTAAAAGCTGTATTGTAATTTCTCTTTGTGTACAAAATAATCAATTTCAACTGCAGAATCGTCATAATGATTCATTGATAATAATTGCACGCAATACAGAACTTTATGAATGAAGTATTGTTTATAAACAAACCACCAAAAGCTGACAGTTATTTGAATAATCACTTTCCCCTGCATGCATAGTTATTTAACACAACAAAAACATTAGTATTAGAGGTATCTTCTTATTGGAAACACTAGAAATACTGTTAAATAAAATAAAATAACAAGGACTGCATAATTAAATTAATAATTATTGTGGGAGAAAGATATCTACAAGGTATTGAAACAAATATTACATTTAGAAGGGAGCTATACTATACAAATTTTGGTATACCATATTTTATATTCACATTATAAATATTGATATACGCATTAGTTACTGTAAAGGCAACGTCAAAAGCTTAATATGCAAGCGAATATACATTGTAATATTTACAGGTTACGGTCCCAGATCGTGTGGCAATGGCTCTGCATCTTTGCAGGATTCGGTTAATAAAACGTAAAATGTTTTGACTGACCTTTTCGAGTTCAAGATCAATGTCTTGCTGGTAGACGGACACGTTGGCTTCGGTGTTTTCGGACGTCTGGATGTGGGCTTTCAACTGAGTGACCTGTCAAAGTCAACCAAACCACATGTAAACCTTCGCAAAACCATTGGCGTCTTCTTAGACGTATTTTACCAACTCAATTTGACATGTTAATAATATAATTTAATGAAAATTTAATTATTTGTGTGCGTGCTTTTCGAAACTGTTACAGACACATGTCTGTCACATGACACATGTCAAGATATTTATCAACGGTGTGTTCAAGTTTTTGGAAAGTTATATTCTTTGCATTGACGACTTTTCAACGCAGTGCAACGCATTTTTAAGCAGTTTCGCAAAAATTATTCACATAGTCTAAATAATTGCACAAATATTTGCTCATAATCAGGAGGTAAGAATGTGTAGGAAGACATATGTACTTTCATGCGTCTTTACAAACGTCTAACGCGTGTCTATGATGACCGTCACTTTAGTTCTTAAAAGTAACCGCTAGGGGCGCTGTACTATCTGGCACATAATATGTGCCTATCTGGCACATAATATTATTTTTAACGTAGTCGCTAGCGAGTACGTTTAATGTATACTCATGGTTAGCACACTGGCCTCATTCACGTATCACCCCACCGAACCGTATAAAATCTCGTAAGAGCCAAAGCACACGATGAGTTGCGGCGGCGGTGCGGCGTCGGAGCGGTGTCGCTGCGTCGTTTTACATAGAAATATCTGTGGCGAGCACACGAGCGGCTGCGGCGCCACAACGCGTGATACGACGAAATATTTGCGGGGCCGCAACGCAGTGTGCTTTCGCTCTCACAATTTATTTCGATTCGCGAGGCTTGTAGGGTCACCCTCACCTGTTCCTCCAAGGAGGCGACAGTCTCCGCGTGGCGAGCCTGTAGGTCGCTAATGTAGGCCAGGTGCTCTGCCCTCAGTTCTTCCAGCTGTTGCTCGTATTTCTTGCTAGTCTGTTTCACAGCTTGCTCTAGTGGCGTCGACTGTAATGATAAGATAATAAAATAATAATAAAAATCGTTTACTGTTTTTTTTACAAAAGGAATTACAAAAGAAAACTTATAATTAAAAAGGTAGAATAAATAAATAAATAAATAAATAAAAGTCAAGCAAGGGTTTTTTTTTATCGTAGATGGCTTAAGAGGTGTGTACTAATATGTATGAGGCAACTCAATTTCTGATGAGGGCTATTATTTTAGCGCTCACCAGTTGCTGCCATGCCATGTAGAGTAAAGTTCTGTCATTTGTTAGTAGCTAAGACAGTAATGGTAAGTTGCTAACCTTGGTAAGCGCTGAAGTAGTAAGAGCACTATCCCATATTATGCACTCACCAGGATGGCGTCACTGTAGAGTAAGGTCAGTCACTCGCCAGTGGTGCCAACGTTAAGTATAAAAACGATAGATTGAACATCAACTTAACCAAATTTTTATCATCATCTGCTTAACGCAGTCTATTGCTATACAATAGGTCTTATGCAATCAATCGCAATACGCGTTTCCCGCTTGTCACAATGATTCCCAAGTTGTCGTTAAAGGGATCTAAAGAGAGCTAGGGAGAGCTAAAAAGAGCTAAAGGCAGCTAGGGGGAGCTAAAGGGAGCTAAGGGAGCTAGGAGCAGCTGGTTCTCACCTCCAGCGTCAGCGAGGGCAGTTCCGCGCTGCGTGTGCGCCGGCGCAAGCAGTCGCCGGCCGCGGAACCCTCCAGTGAAGATGCCGAGCCGCCCGGGGACAAGCACGCGCGACCGCGCCACACCTCCTCTGAATAACTGGGAAAAGAATACGTGATCTTTCACAATCATACTTTGGTTCAAACGCCAAATATTTTCTGGGAGAACAGAACAATAAATATTACGACTGGGATTCTGTCATTTAGGTGGTGTTTTGACGAACAGTTTCTACTCGATCCGACGTCGGGCTGGTGCCAGTTATTTTCACGTTGGTCGATTGGGCCAGATGCCGGCACGGTTAGAAACCGGCTCATCAACACACGCCCTTAGTCAAGTCAAAAAGTACAAAGCATTTATAAAATTATTGAGACAGTCAATAAATAGGCAAAAAATGTTCTACATACCTTCTTTTTGGCCTTGTTTGCAGAAACAGAATAATAATAACATTATTAACATGCAGAAGAAATGGAACAAAAATTATACACATAATAATTCAAGCAATAACTACCTCCTCTCCATATCTGAGCACTTTTTCTCAAAGTAAGTCCGTAAGTTTTCCATCTCCTTTTCATGTTTGACGCTGAGTTCTGCCCTCAGTTCGTCTATATCCGCGTTTCCCGCCTTAACTGAAGCGAGCAGCTCTCTTAGGCGCCTCGTCTCCACTGTAAACGTCTGCTTGTCCTGCTGCATCTGAGTCTCCAACTCCTTAACTTCTGTGTCAGACTCGATCCGCATTTTCCCTATCTCCTCACACAATATCTGAATGATACTCTCCCTCAGTTTATTCCGCAAATTCTCCTCAATGTACTCGTCGAACTTGCTAATTATCGTCGTCAGTTTATTTTCGAAGCCCGTCTGAAACTCTTCTGAGGATCCACTCGATCGAAGATCAGATTTGGAGTAGTTGACTGTGATTTCCTCGTGATCCATGTCCTTTTCGCCGTTCGAGCTCTGTATAGATGATCCTCCGCTCATGAGAGCGGAGTAGAACTTCGTGCTGTCGTCTTTGAGCATGCTCTGGTACTTCATGAAGTCTGAGAGCTGAGCTTTGACCGTGTCGTGGTCGGAAGAGGATTGCTCGCCGACGGCGTGTTGGAGCTGAAGCACCTCATTACTGAGGTGTTCGTTCTCGTGTCTGAGCTCGTCGCGCTCGCGCACGGACCGCTGTAAGGAGACCGTGAGTTCCTCGATTAGTTCATCGCGTTGCGTGATAGCGGCTTCGAAGTGCACAAGCTGAAAGGACAGACAGGCGTTCAGTACATGTACAACATTGACAAGCTTTATGTATAATGGTCGCAAGCATTTTGTTTAATAGTCCGCGCTGCTAGACTTTGGCAGTATGGCAAGTCATTACTGAATATTTTTATACCAAAATGACCTAGTAAATCTACTGAACTTTGAATGCAAAGTAAAATAATGTTGCTATCACTGAGACAGTTCAAATTCTGTTCTTACACCTGCAAAATTGCCAAAGTGTACAAGCACAGACTATTTAAGTAGAATCGGTAAATGAAACTAAAACCTAAACCATGACTTTTTTTACATTAAAGAACTAGATTGGATAACAGAAAATATTTTATTATGAGTAAAATTAACCAAAAGGCATTAATAATATCAAGATAATAATTATTGTGGAAATTATTATTAAATTAAAATGGTACTTAATGCTACAAAAAATATAAGTGCACTTACAGAACACATTTCATTGAAAAAATCTGATAAATTACAATTTATTAAAAATATTGTGAAAAGTTTTTGACAAATTATGGTTACAATTTCTGACAAATCATGACATAATCACAGATAAGCTAAACAAGGAATGGGTTAATTTTGAACTCCAAAGAAGTTAATATAGTCTTTTGCACTTCATTATGGTGTGCAATAAAAGTTAGCTATCTCCTAAAACTACTGTGCATTATTCTCAAAAGAGAAAGTAGAAATACCTAATAATACTTTTTCCATTTCTACCAGTACTTATTCAAATTGGTACTATCTTCTATCATGTTAAAAAAAGACAAAGCAGAAAAACTTATAACAAAATTATAATTTATTACATGAAGATGATACAGTTAACATAAACAAAAATTAGAAACTTTATCATAAATTAGAGAGTGTATCTTGTAAAATGTGAGAACATAGCATGCCATTGGAGTCAAAAGCAGTATTAGTATGCAAAGCAGGAGTAGAGCATAGAGCAGGCACACACAAAAGCACAGTCCCTGAATTACAACTAGTACCTTTGCATGATATTCCTCACATATTGTTTTGTAGTCCGTTGTCATGGTACTGAATGACATGGTTTCTTCAGGAGGCATTGACTTTGGCTGTGTCCCGAGCGATGGCTCATCCAGTTTCTCATCCTCTCTCTCCTTCACATCATCAACTGTAAGCTCTTCAACAAGCAAGTCTTTCTGTTCACTCTTATCACTTGAAAAACTCTGCTTATCAAGAGAAAGTTCCATAGATTTGTCAGGAGACACCTCTAAGGATTTGTCTGGTGATAATTCCAGCAATTTGTCTAAGGAAATATCTTTTGGTTCTTGTTCACCGAAGTCAAACACCTCTTCAACTTTCATTCCGTCACCTGCTCCGACTAAAAATGGTGAAAGTAAATTTGGAAAAACTGGTATTTGCTCTATGTTTGAATCTATGACAGTGCTTCCCTCTGGTGGAGGTCCAAATATGATTTTAGCAGTAGGTAATGGAAACTTGGGAACACCCTGACCTCGAATATCCAATTTTATTATTTCCTCAGAGCCCGTACTGTCTTTTTCCAGCGAGTCTTGATTCCTTGACATACTAGATTTTTCTAAAGATTTTTCATTTTCTGATTCCAGAGATTTAAGAACAGATTCTTCATTTAGAGAATCAACAAAATTATCACTTCTAGGAGATTCTTGAGGTGTTTTGCCATGATCATTTGCTGATGGGGTGTGAGGTAATGACTGAGATTTACCCTCATTTGTTTCGCCATCTTTAGAGAAGTCTTCTGATGATAATGCTAAGTTCACTGGGCTCTCTTCACTGATATGGTGAATGTCTGACACAGCATTGACATCAATAGGCCAGGATGTACTCTGCTTACTGGGGTCTGGTGAACTAGGGTGCTCACTAAATGGTGAATAAGTGAATGGAATGTTTGGAGAATTAGATTTGGACACTTTCTCCTGATGACCTTCAACTTTGAGCAAGTCTTCCGATTGTGTGTGATTGGCGTTGTCTGTTACCGAGAGAGAATCCACTTTGGATGGTATGTGCTCTGAAATAGACTCAGTTTCACTAGTTTCCTGGACATCCTGATTTTGGCTTTCGTTTTCTATATTGTGGCCGTTATCGATCTGTGTTACGGCGCCCTCGACGGCGCCTACAGCGGCTATCTGTTGAGAATGTACGACATCCGGAAGAACATTCTAAAAATAAATAAAAAATCTAATTATGCCGAGTTAAACTTTCCAGCGAGACTGGGATTATTTCCTGGAACCTGAATGGAAAAATGCTTTCAGGACGATACTTCGCGAATTTTATAAATATTTGTAGGTTCCGTTTAATAGTTACGGAGTGCAGGTATGCATTTCTGTACTATTTTTAACGTAACGAAGAATATAAATATCTTTCTGATAGTTAGATGGAACGTAAGACTATAAAACGAAATTAAATAAAGCACATACCTTGATTTCAGTTGACTGTGACGATTGTTTTTGCGGATCATCCATAATTTATCAAATACATAGTAAAATCAATCAACAATTCATACAAAATCCACAAAATTCGTTCGTTGTCAAGACGACGTTTCTCACTTTCAAACAAAATACAAACGCCATTAATAATTTACGTTCCGTTACGCATAATAGTATATCTAGCCAAGCTGTAAGTCAAATGTTAAACGTTGATTTAACAATTAATGTAAAAAATATTACCTAGTATTAATTCAATCTAAACATAAAAACCGGCCAAGTGCGAGTCGGGCTCGCGCACAAAGGGTTCCGTAGCAGCAAATATAATAAACTTATTATGTCAATTTAATCAACCTATCTCAAAAACTATAAGAGATACTTTGATCAAACCAAAAATCGTTGAAAGAGTTAATTAGCATGCATCACCTCTATTTTTTTTAGAATTTTATACCCCGTAGTTATAAAAATAGAGGGGGGGGGACATACTTTTTACGACTTTGAGAGCTGATATCTCAAAAACCGTTCACTTTAAGAAAAATGTTTTTTAGAAAACTTTATATCATTTTAAAAGACCTTTCCATTGATACCCCACACGGGTATGTACATCGAAAAAAAATTTTCATCCCTCAGTTACATGTATGGGGGGCCCCACCCCCAATTCTTTTTTTTACTATTTAGTGTCATAATTTTGTAGCGGTTCATACAACACATATTCCCATCAAATTTCATCACTGTAGTACTTATAGTTTCCGAGTAAATCGGCTGTGACAGACGGACAGACGGACAGACGGACATGACGAAACTATAAGGGTTCCGTTTTTGCCATTTTGGCTACGGAACCCTAAAAAGCACACGTGATCCATTATTTAATAATTAAACGTTAATAACTTAACATATAAAATAATAATGTTGCTTAGTACGGAACGTACAATTAAAAAGTTCCAAGTTTTGAAGTTGCGCTTGCGCCAATTTTGAAAATAGGATTCGCAAATTATAATTTACTATTAAATTTTGCAATTTATTTCAATTTGTTTACTTCATAATAATTGCTGACCAAATAATAATATTTTTTGAGGTACAAAAATGTTGTGGAGGTAGTTTGGTAACTTTAATACCTAATAGTTATTCCCAAACTTATTTGAGACGCGCCCCCTTTCGTCCATACAAAAAATTTCCGCGCGCCCCCCCCTCCTCCAGTCAAGATTATTTATTGGTCTGGCAGATGACCCGCGCCCCCCTTTAAAGGTCTTTGCGCCCCCCCTGGGAACCATAGAGGAATAATTCTTCTATGCTGGGAACCAATGTATAGTACAAAATAAAAGCCTGTTTTTAAGAGATTTTTTATTTAACTATTTACACCATACATTTTAAAGAAGCCGCTTTATTCTGTACATTTTTTATATTGCAAAAACTTAATTTCGATTAAGGCCAATGTCTGGTATTAACAAATTACAAAAGTGTATTGCTTAGCACGTTATCTTTTACATTAGCATAACAATAAGTAATAAATAAATAAATAATTTCGTATTAATTTAAATATTTATTACCTAATATAGGAGACTAATGTCCGTTTTCACCATCAATCCCTAATTTTTAAGTGTGCCCTATGGTAATATTTTCATAAGGGTCCCTTAAAATTTAGAGATTTATGGTGAAAACGGGCATAAGTTTGCTGATAGTTGCACTGAAGAACCTTGCGATAAATAATAAAATTAAATGCATGTTTAAAAGTAAGAGAAAATATAAAAGCATAGGTACATACTTATTAAACTTTCAAATGATACAAAAAATATTATGAGGAGTATTCTGTTAATACATTAGTTAACATCTCTCAAACGACCCTGTGTTCCAACCTCGTTTACAATGATATTACCTTTTATTCCTACAATATTAGCATCACTTGTTATAGTCCTTTTTTCTGTTGTTACGCTGAGAGTATGGCTGAGAGAGGCATTCAGAGAAATATTAAGTGCAAAAGAGCTGCATAATGTTGTAATACTAAGCAAATGCTTTTATTCGTTCTCTTAGTCGATCGAAAAATACACAGGCACAATTTCTACTTGAGCAAAGATTACTTTTTATTTGCAATGGTTGACTTGTGAGCAGTTTCTATTGAAAGATCGGATTTAAAGTCTACCTTCAGGGAAAAACCTTATACCTTCAGGGAACCTACATTTTATAAAAATATTCACTGAAAACACTCAAGTGAACATTACCAGCATTATAGCACAAAATCCACTAGTTGCAAATTAGCTAAACAAGCTCACTAATAGTCGATACACGTTCTAAAATTAACACCTCTGTAGCAGTGGTAAACATTCGGCGATACAAAACGTCTCAAGCATATCTCGACCACTAAATACTGTATTTTGTGTTTTGACACAGGAGCAGAAAGTGACCATACAGAAGCACATAAAAGAAAATCTAAAAATAGGAAGACATTTTAGAAGAGAAGAAAACATCCATTAAACTATACAATTTACGTGTATCAAATATTACATAGCTAATGCCAAAGAATTTTAAGATAAAAAATATTTTTATACCTATATTATTCCATTATTAATATCCTATCCATAAGCAATTTGGTAGCTTTGTGATGATCAAAAACATTGGTTAGTTTCGTAGTTATTTTAAAATTTTGAAAGTGGCTTACTGCCATGATCCTTAATTGAATAATGTGCAGTCATAAGTTTAGCAAAATATGTTCTTGACAGTAAATTAGTACTTTAATTTATGTATTGAATACAATTATAAACAAAGTGCATCAAGCGATACTTATTGCATAAATATTTAAATCTAATTTCCAATAATTATCTACTTTATCTTGTAACAAAAATATTAATACTGTATTTCATATAATTTTATGTGAATTCAGGGGGCATGTTACTAAATGAAATGATGGCTGTGACGTGATTATTAATCACTGATATAGTAGGTATCTGGTAAAATACTTCCCTTGAGCATTTTTTGTAATCACATAATCATATTTTATTGGTCATGGTCTTGTTTAATAACAGATATTAGGTAACTATATTATTATAGATCTGAAAACTAAATACATTTGTCATTTATTTTAGAATGAAATAAACATAAATTATTCTTATAACCGAAAAAACTTTTTTGAAAAAATACAATCTTTTATTGACTATAAAGATATCTAATGTTATGTAGATTTTTAGAACACTAGTGTAGCATCTAGTAGCGAACTGTTCTGATATTTAAAGGACCATAAGGAAGCTGAGATAAACCTAAACTAGTTCAAAGTCATGATTAACTATTATGCATGCCCTTGGTCAATAAATCTGTCACCTGCCCTCTACTGCACAAATACTTTTGTCAACTTATCTAAGCCTTTAGTATAGCAAATTCATTAAATGTAGTGTTGAACACTATGATTCAGATACAAGGAACAATATATCCTACTGCCATCACTTAACTTTAGAATAAATTTAACATTAGAAGCTGGAACTTTAAACGTTCAGACCGAATACCATGACTAGTCATTACCAAAATAATTTTATGTATACATACTATAATATAGTAGATATTTCAAAGTGAACACGTAACAATTTATTTGCATTTCAATATAATATGACTTTTTAAAAATCACATCTCTATGAAAACGAACTATGCCTACAAATACCTAGTCACTTGATCAGACAAACTATCCAGTTGGCACATCACTGGTATCAAAACTTCACTACACTCATGAACATATTAATAATCAATCTATACTGTTTGCCCTCGTGTGTCGTCTTCTCTCGCAGATTCAGTGAATAACAAGTCAGTGGTAAACCACTCGTTCAAATCAGTCTAGTAGGAGAAAACAATGTATATGAATTACTCTAATACAAAATATTGTAACTAAAATATGATGATTTCTTTCTAATTAGATTTCCTTTCGTTATTTTGTGTAATAGTAGTAAATAAATTAAAACCAATTAGTAAATCGCAGCTGCAGGTAGCGGCTGCAGAGTGTTCTGTACAGGAGCGCGGGCGCGCGGCAGTCAGGTCGCTGCCTTCTCAGGTTTGTCATCATCCTCTTCTTCTTCTTCTTCCTGGGCCATGAGCTGTCTTGCTAATTGGAGAGCCTGAAAATGTTATCAGGGAAATCAGAAAAAATAATTAAAGATTACAAAGTTTTTTTGTCATAATAATGATCTTATGTAAGACTGTTACAGTTTTGAACAGCCAATAAATAATAAGATAAACTTTACACCAAAACTGTTAAGCCTCCACCTATAATGTGATAAAAGCAATAAAGATAAATTTTGCTTATTTATCATTTATAATCTGCATAGCTTCAAATCAAAACTATTAGTAAAATCATTCATTAGCTTGTGATCAAAAGATCTGTTGTCATTACAATAAATCATGAGCACAAGAGCTCATTAAATACTTATCAATATGCACATTAATATTCTACATGCATAGACAATCACATGCAAGGTTATTGTAAAATTGTATCAGGAGACACTAATGGTTTTATTCATCTTAGTAGGTAGGCATAGTGCTAGCTAACATAATTTCTGTCAGAAAAAAAACTCACAAAAACCAACAAAAGTTTTGTAACTGAAAACTTACTTGGAATTCATTGTAGTGCATTTTTCTTTTCTTCTCAAACTCGATCCGCTTCTTGCGCACCTCCTCGGGCTCGTCCATGTCCTCGTCGCTGTCCTCGCACGCGTCCATGCACTTGGGCGGCTTGTTCATGCTGGCGGCCAGCTTGGCGGCCAGGATGTTGGCGTCCAGCTCGTCGCCCGGCTCCAGCTCGCCGTCCACGGCCTCCGAGTACGGAGTCTTCGGCTCGTCCACTTTCATGTGCCCGTAATCCTTGTTCGCCGGGTGAAATGTCTCCATAATATTCAACTCGTCGAACCTCTGCTCCTTCGGCCGCTTACTCGTCGAAGGCGTACCTTCCTGCCCGTCGACGCTTCGCGACGTCTTCAAAATGCCCTTTGAGGGCTTCTTTTGCAAGTTCGAGGCCATGTTGATCCGTTTAGAACAGCATCATACAATTTAGAAATTAAATTATGTGAGATTTCACTGAAAACTGTAGTAATTTATTTTTTCAGCGAATGACAAATTCTATTCTACAAGGACTGACATTGACACTGACAGCGGAAGAGCCAATGTTGCCATATAAAAAAAACTAGTGGTGCTTCACTAGCGATACCGGTAAAAGTACAGGTATCACTATCAGTGAGCTATGCTACAAGTCTGCTCTGCAGCTCAAATTAATATAGCTCGAGGCGATATCTACTCTGTGGGATTGTCTGTGGCTCTGTCTGTTTCCGTAAATGTCAAAGTTGTCAAACCGATGTCAAATGCACAGATACGAAGAAAACAAACAGAAACATTTTCGTAAGAAAATAATTGTAACTCTACTGATTGCCTGGAATTGTTTAACACCCTAAAAATGGTTGAAGAATCTAGTATGAATTCTAATAAACCTAAGGTGAGATAACTATAAGAGATAGTAATAGTTGGTAGAAATTCACAAGGTTATGTTTTACATGTATTAATGTTCATGCTAATAATTTCTATGTTCCTGAAACATGTTCTAGACGAAAACCACCCGTCCTAAAGCTGTATACTTATGGACAGAAGCAGACGTTCAAAAATGGCTCCGCCGTCACTGTAGCGATTACTATAACCTTTATTGGGAGAGGTTTCATGAGGTGAGTTTGCACCCATTTTCATCCTTAACCGCTATATTAATTAATTTTCGTACTATTTGCCCGCCAATTTGGACACTGGTTATTAATTGTAATTCAGTTTTAATACCATTATTTTATAAATAATGTAAGTATAATAATATGACTCAAACTTGCTTTGTTTATTCACAGCACGATATAACAGGGCGCGCCCTTATCAGGATCAATGACAACACGCTGCTCCGTATGGGCATCACCAACAGAGAGCATAGAGATGCATTATGGCGCGAGATCCTAAAGCTTAGGTTAAAGACTGACATTATGGAAATCCGCGATCTGGAGCGACGACACAACTACTTTAACTACGACTTGTGACAGGAGGCGCTGGTCTCCAGCTCAACGGTCTGCCAACGATGTGCCCTAGCCTTCAAGCGGCTATTCAACAGAAACACAAGTGGATACAGTGCAATTGGACACCTACTTCGTGCCTTAATAATTATACTAACATTAAATAGATTTTTTGCCAGCAATAGATAACAAAATAAAATGTATATGTGTCAGTTTGATGTTAAATTTTATCATTAGTAGTTAAATGTTTATACACTGAATTAGAATTTATAAATATTGCTTAATTTATAGTTAGATTTATAATAACTGCTTGTGATGCATGTATGAAGATCAAATTGGGAATTAGATGGTACTTGTATGTATTCACTATTCATAATAAAAAAAATTGTTTCTATTGATTGTTAATCAGACAAAACATGGAAAATACCCTATTGAATAAATTGAAAGATTTTAAGAATGAGATGCTTATGTAAATACTTAATTAAAAGCTGGTATGAAGGTTGTGCCAAAGCCAAGTGTTGACAAAATTCCAGCCTGAGAAAAATACAAATCTGTTATGCAATCTAAGTATATTAAGGTGACAATAATAATAATATCTTTTTTAAATAAGAAAATATCAATGAAGAGTTTATCTCTGAAAAACCATGTCAAAAGAATTTGGATAAGGGGCCATCCATAAAGTACGTCACACGAATTTCATGATTTTTTGACCCCCCCTCCGTCCTTGTCACAGGTGGTCACATTTCTGAGACCCCCCCTCCCTAGTGTGACGTCACATGTTTTTCAATTTCACATCGTAAAATTATTAAATTAACAGCAGTTCCGAAATTATTTTAATTTAAATTAAGTACTTTTTTTAAATGAAATCAACATTATATCAAATATTTGAAACAATTGAAATGTGATGTCACGAAACTTAGGACCCCTCCCACCCCTTGTCACACCATGTCACACTTTGTCAACCCCCTCCCCCCCTCTTTACGTGTGACGTACTTTATGGATGACCCCTAATATTGTTATGTAATGATATTTTTATTTGCAAAGACATTCCATTGAAAGTTTATCCTACTCTTAGTAATATAAGTATAACAAAATGTGAGGCAAAATTAGGCTTAGTACCTCAAAATTACAAACACTGTATTTTATACAAGTTTCTTATTATTTGGTTTGGGCAGGAAAGACTGGACCACTGAATTAGTATTTATGTAAAAAATTAAAGCTGCAGACTAGCTTATAGCTCATTTTTTCCTATGTGATGATCTGCCGAGATGACGATTACTTACATAACATTACAACTTACAAAACCGTAGGTACCGAGAATGATGATGTCTAATCGATATCGTACTTGTCTACAACACTGGTTTTAATGATTCCGAATGGTTAAGAACGCTGTTAACTGTAAAAAAATATTCAAATACCAATTTAGGTACGAGTAAATACATGATATTTATATAAATGATGTTGTTTTATTACAAGCTTTTATTTTTTGTTTTTTCCACTCGACCTGTATTTTTAAATCATGATTATTTTCTACTATTGGCGCGGGCAATCCGCGGCATGGAATGCAACTCGATTAATTTGAAACAGGCGTAGAAATACCATAGTAGCCCACCATATGTTTCGTAATATAAATAACATCGTATGCATTGATCTCATTGTCGTGCCAGGAACTTTTCGGTGTAACTCAGAAACTTTCGCCGTACTACTAATCATGAATTAATATATCAATTTCTTATTAGATTAATTACTGGGTTATTGCCTAATTGGTATTACGAGAAAGTAGGTAGTGTCTAAAATCTAGATAGCTAAACTTAGTTTTTTAGCGTGAAGCCTACTTAACTACCTAAAACGTGTGTTTTAATTAGTTATCTATTTTAATAACTTATGTTCACGTACAAGAACTTTGAAGTCACACGTTCCAAATTTTCAAAGTTCATAAAGCCATTGACATACATACGATAAATGTAAATAAGCCAAACCTCGTCTTTCCCATGTAACTTAGGTTACCAGGTAACCCACCCCGAGGGTTACCTACGCCATATCGAATGACAAATGATCGAAAATCAAAATATCGAATACGTTTCATCGAACGATCAAAATATCGAACGATCAAAATATCGAATGCTCAAAATATCGAACGTTCACAATATCGAACGATCAAAATATCGAACGATCAAAATATCGAACGATCAAAATATCGAAAGTCGATATAGACGTTTTTATTTAATTCATCTACCTTGCTCGGCCCCGGTGCATGGTTGTGTTTGGTCGTACAGTTTTGTTTTGCCAGTTAATGTGTGCCTTAAGTATTTTTGTGCCTGAAAAGTTTATAAATTTGGAGAATAATGTCCGTGGGGACCTATTATAAGCCTAGCCTGTCCCAAAAAGGAAAAACAGTCATGTCACCAAACACAACCATGCACCGGAGCCGAGCAAGGTAGATGAAATTTAATAAAAACGTCTATATCGACTTTCGATATTTTGATGGTTCGATATTTTGATCGTTCGATATTTTGATCTTTCGATATTCTGAACGTTCGATATTTTGAGCATTCGATATTTTGAACGTTCGATATTTTGATTGTTCGATGAAACGTATTCGATATTTTGATTTTCGATCATTTGTCATTCGATATGGCGTAGGTAACCCACCCCGACTACTTGTGCCAGACCAGACACAAAATATCATAATCCTGTTATAAATCCGGCTCGGGCCGAGTGGAACAAAAATTTACTTTAGCTCTGCAAGAAACTTGAGCTTGTAAAAATTTCGATATCGCTTTACGGAGCGAAGTAACTAAGTAGGTACCTAAGACTTACTTACCTACCCTACATACAAAAACGCAAGAGCGATCAGCGAAGCGATCAGCGAAGCGATTTCAGAATCACAAGTCATGCTTCTTGTGCTAGCCACTCAGGATCCCCAGTTTAGGATTGTATGCAATCACAGCCAAGTCCCTACACTCTTGTTCATTTTCGTAGCCTTTGAAAGCGAGTCGTAGACTAAGGAAAGACTAGCATAAAGCAACTCATTGTTGAACAACATCGTCGTTTAGAGTTCGTCTTAGAACTCCAAACAAAATGAAATCCAACGGTTGGGTGGTTATGAGAGTTTACCTACCGTTGTTTTCAAAATAACAGCATATCATTAGTTCGGAATTGCAAACAGGCCGTTTTCATTCCAGAATGCACCTATACCTACCTACCTACCCTACTTACATCTTTTGAAGTGCATTTAGGTACTTTGCTCAATATTTATCCTTGTTTTTCTGTGCTCTACTCTTTGGCTCTACTTTAGAATTATTCTCCCTGCCTGTCCTTTCGGTACGCATAAATAAATGGTATGATAGAATTTTAAATGGCATTATCTTACTGCCTCCTTTAGCCTATTCTACCCGAGCTTTCAGGCTACATTTGAAGGCATCTTTGCAGCGGGTTAAAATGGTTTCAGGTTTTGGGAACAGCTTTGATTCTATCGCCTATTTGTCTGCAAGACAACTGGGAATAAACCCGTTATTCTAACATCATTTTATGACACATAATATGAACAACAAACGTTCGCGCCATTAGAACCATTTGGTATGGTCTGCTGCCAAATTAACTCCAAGAAAATGTCTAGCAAATCGCAATCCCGTATGGTTATTACGAAATGTTCATCGCGCGAAGCGGTCAGATTGTATATGCTTAATTTTATTGTGTCAAGCGTCAGTCTTGGTGCGGCATAGTTAGGAGTTGTGCGCCGGAATCGCGCGCGTTCATTTTGGTTATTTTCCCGCCAACATTTTTGACATTATAATTTTTAAGTTCAGACTGGAATATAAGTTGTGTGGTTAAGTGACAAATATCTGTGATTTTATGATAAGGTGGGACTTTATTATCTACTAAAATACTTCTAAAGTTACTTATTTTAGGTACATTTACTTGATTAACTATAAAATATTAACATTAAAACCAACATTTTTCTGTAGAGCTTTATCATGATATTAATTAACAAATCATTTCCTGTGAATAATAGAAAGTCTTGGAAATATGTTCCTACAAAAAGTAACAAACTGTTCTTTTAGAACTTATGTTTCACAATGCTTGGATAAGCTGTAACCTCATACTTAATCATTGGACATTTTCTAAATAAGTAACACGTGAAAAGGGCGGTAAGAAGTAAAATTGCATTCCCCAAATAAACTCAGATTTAGAAATTACAAGGCATTGTCAATTTTTGCCTAAAAATAACAGTTCTTCGAAGATCGTGTGCAGTAGGTACCTACTCATGCAGTACCGCGCGTATACGCGTGTTCCTGCCAAGGGGCGTGCGCCCGCGCAACCATGATTTATCGGCCACTGTTAAGCCACTTGAGGTCAGCTGACACTATTTAAAAGCTAAACTGCACAAATGCATTATATTCTTCTCAGCACCAGCCCATGTTGTCTCGAAGTGGTGGTAGGGCAAGCTATATTGGAGACCTGTACAACTGTACAAACAAGCGCCCTGTAAAGGTAACCCTAAGTAGGTACTAAATACTTAAATGATTTAATTTGAATGGAAAATCCTTTATATTTTGAGGGATAGGGTAATTTACTGGCACATGTAAGCCAATTATTTGGGTAAGTAACTTGAATAGAATTGTGCCCCGAACATGAGAGTAAAGAGAAAGTCATGATTGTCAGACTCAGCAACTAAATCTAAAAATTTAATGGAAGTATTACATAAATATTTCGTGATCAATAAATACAGCTAAATGTAGGTAAAGGCTATATTATATGCCTTAGTATTTAATTTTTGTACTCTAACCGGTTTTCCTCCCTTTGATCAAACAACGATTAAAATAATATATGTGTGTAGAGGTAGAGCTGTCTAATTTTAAAATGAAGGAAATCTAATTTCAGTAGTTATTACCATTATTAATTACGAACAACTTTAAGAGTTATCATTTCAATATGATGTTCGGTATCGGTAATATCCGAAGCTCGCATCCAACGCGGGCGCATGAAAACGCACTTGAATTCAAAACTTGAACGTAACGACGCTTTGCAGGCGTCTTGCGCCTGCGCCTATTTGAGTGACGGATAGCTCGTTGCCGACAACTAAACGGGCGGTTTATCAAGCCGATACTTGCAGACGTCTGCCCAGTCATACAGCCCGAGCCAAATTACAAATGCTTCCAGGTATTAGGTGGCATCCCCGATTGATTTATGGACACTAATGCGTATTCAACTCGTAATGTTAAAGTTCGAATTGGTTCATCGGTTCTGTGTTCGTAACTTCTTTCAAGACATCACGATAGAGCATCTACTTACATAACGTTAAATGAATCTAACTAAAGCATTTAAATGTCCCTATTTCCCTTAGCTTCAAACCAAAGATATCGACCCGAGTCGTTACCAGACACAGCTAAGTACTACTCTCAGAAAGGCATACCTGTTCTCGTTTATACATGTCTCATGCCCGTTGTTTTCACCATCACCTACCTAATTTTTAAGTATAGTTCCAAAATACTGGACTGTCCTGTCGATGACATTGACAGTGGGGCGCCACCGTCAATACCGGATCGCTGGTTCAGATTTTTGCCATGTTGGAAACCATATAGTTGAACGATGGTAGCGCCCCCCTGTCATTGAGTTTGGCGGGACAGTTCAGCGTGGGTCATGTATAACCCCTTTGAAAACAATAGACGTGTTGACACCACCAATCACTTGACGTGCTTTTTAAATTGTCAAAACGAAACTCTCCCATAGATTTTTTATGGCACTACAAGCAAGTGACGTCACTATTTTGTCAACTCAAATAAACTACTTTTTTCAATTACAATGCGACCAAAAATCGTAATTTACAGGTAGGTAATTTAAAATTAATTAAGTTTTTAAGACCGGAATGAAGTGTCTTTTTAGAAAAGTTGTGATTTCGAATTATTGAGGAATGGTGTCAAATTGTCTATTCCACCATAGGGCTCACTTAAAAATTTGGGATTGATGGTGCATGTCAGTAAATGAACATAGGAAGGTACTCACCCTTTTAATACACTTCCTCATTTTTACCATGAATCAGCTTTCCTCTAAGCACGTGGATGCTTACTCACTTATCCTCGGAAATACTTTACGTCATGTTGATTGTATTAGGAAGGTACACGTATAACTAAAGAAGTTCGATGAAACTATTTGTTCGATAGTGTTATTATTATAAGGCCAGTCAAACTGTTCCAATACAAACAAACTCGCGGTTCTATCGAAATAGTGGTAGATCACTGTAATTCTCGGACAAGTCTAAATCCCACCAAAAACATTCTGTAAAAAACTAGCCAAGTCTCGATGGAGCTGCTTGTTTATCTCTAAAAAGTAATGAAATCTAGACAAAGTCGTGCCAAGTCTATGGTTCCTTACTGCGATTTCTTTATTATTATAGTTAATGTTGTGTGACTTGGCCGTTGAAGGGTGACAAAACCAGGTGCTCCATGACACCATTGCACCAATCAGTCGCCTGAACCGCTACCCACTGACGATGGAAAATTGCCACTTGGAAAACGTTGATTCAACAATAACCAGTCAATTGTAGGTTCAGTAAAGCTGCGTATTTATAATGTATGATTATCTTAATAAAGATTGTTCAACGGCCAAGTCACACAACATTAACTATAATAATAAAGAAATCGCAGTAAGGAACCATAGACTTGGCACGACTTTGTCTAGATTTCATTACTTTTTAGAGATAAACAAGCAGCTCCATCGAGACTTGGCTAGTTTTTTACAGAATGTTTTTGGTGGGATTTCACTTCTTTTTGTAGAACGTGGCAAAATTATTTAACGTCGTCGTTTTATGATAAAACTTTTATCGTCATTTTTTAGATATTATACACAAATAAACTCAACGATCTTTAAAATGGACAACGAATCAGAATTGTTTTTATAACATAACCTAAGCGAACCTTACAGTATAATAAACGAAATCAACGAAATGCAAATTACACAACATCCAACTTAATCGACGACTTTCTCTAGAAAGGAAAAAAATCTGGACACCGCTTGCTAGTGCTAGCGCCATCTAGCGGTGAGCGATACAGGCGAACACCACGGTGCCGGAGTAGTATTGATTATGAATGTGGTTACTCCAGATCTTCGATTTTCCTAGTTTTTATAGTTTTCCCTTTATGTGGCCATTAAACCCTAACTCTGTACCAAATTTCAGCTCTCTGAGTTAATGGGAAGTACTAGTTCTATTTTGATGATCATCAGTGAGTGAGTGAGTGTCGTAAATGCGAAACTTTGCTTTCGCTTAACTTCGGAACTAAATGACCTACAGACTTGAAATTTTGCATTTAAAGTATGTGATTATAGCTTACTAGATGACGAAAATTTCTGCGTTCTGGTCTTATCCAGAGGTTCTCAAATAGGGGCCTGAAAATGCGGCGAAATGGTTCCAGTAAAGGATGGTACGGCAGTGTTTGCTTCGCGCTCGACTTATCGGGGGCACTGCCGTGCCCCCAGATAAACCGAAAGCTCTATTAGTCTGTTTTAGTAATATGGAAATGCCCGCAATAAATATATAAGTAGGCTTGCATAGAATTTGATTTAGTACCTTTATCACCTTTATTTATGAATCATTATTTGCAAATTGAAAACAAGAGGCACGGTTTTATAATGATTAATGATAAAGTATTTTAGGAAGCACTTATATGCTCTACATGATTTATTTATTTTTATTTAAAACTTATATGCACATAGAACGGTGTACATAAGGCGGACTTAATGCCTGATTCACTTTCTATTAATTTGATTAACACACAAGCAACTTAGTACGACCGGGTAGGTTACAGCAATTGCAACTCTTCAGCTATACTACCGCCTACCCAACCGTACCTACCTACATGTATGCTTGTTGGACGTCTTAAATGCCACATGCCAACGATTACATTATTTAGCTACAAAGCGCCTAAAAATACCCACAATTTTATGATCACACAAGTATACTGTTACGTATTATTACCGCACGCGTGGCGAATGTTTTCGTTTTTACCCTTACAACAATAAACTGGAAATTCGCAATGGTATTGCCCGGGGCATATTTTGACGTGGCCCAAATGGTTTTTGTCGTTATGCGGCGAGGGCACGTTTATTTACACATTGGCAAGAATTCAACGCGATTTGATTTACAATCGGCAGGATAACAACTGGAGCCTAAAACAAGAACTGCTGTATCGAGACTGGTAATATTGTTTAACTTTTGAAATTCAAAATATTTAATTATTTTAAGGCTTGTTGGGACCTAAAATACCTAAATGAAGATTTTTGTTCTTCCTGATAACAAAGTGACGTAGGTACGATACGATAAGTTCGTTCATCCGTTCATTTTAGCCAGTCCCAGATGACGTCCACTGCTGGACAAATGCCTCTCTCAAGGATTTCCATAACGACCGGTCCTGCGTTTTCCCGCATCCAGTTTACTTCTCAGGGCGATAAGTATTTAGTTTAACAGGAATAAAACTTACGTAGGTATTTCTTCGCCTTCTTTCAAGTCTCATAACTATTATGCGAAACTTTGATGTTGATATTTAACTGGAAGAGCGTATCATATACCTGTCAGATATAAGCGAGCGTGATGGACGGCGTACACAACATCTTTGTTCTAGATCGGGTTTAGTGCGTCGTAAACGTTGCTCCGACGCAGATAAAAGGCGAGAGTTTCATTATACGCGATATTTACGAAGTTTTCTCAAAGATTCAGGGGTCTTCAAAAGAGGGGAAAAGGCCAAATGCTCCAGATGATACTTTACATAAAGAAATCTACTCGAAACTAGTTACTAAGTAATCAATTGATTGAGAAAATGGGTACTACTACTCTTTATGTTCTGTTCTCTAGTTTAGGTGATTCACATGTTACGAGTAAATATTATTTGGAAAGTTTTTGAATGAAAAAACCAGCAAGAGACTGTGAAGTCAGACAAGTAGGTAAATCGACTTTTTTCTATCTATAGCTCTACCAAAGTCTACCGTGTTAATACTGATTAAATAATGCCAGCTCTGTGGTATAATTTAAGTGCTAAAACTCTAAAAGTGAGGCTTTTAGTTTCTTTGAACTCAATGCATGGAAACTGAACCATTCTACACTTAAGAAGTTATCAATAAACAACATCGTTGCGACTCTCAAAACTTTTTACAGCCCATTTTCTCATCTATTTTTGTCTCATTAAAGTTGTTTGATTGCTTCCTGGATTTAACCCAATTTATCAGGAAAATCTGGAATCACTGGTTTTATTTAGACTTCATTTCAACCTCAAGATATTATGACTCGTGGAATTCGAAATCGGCGCATCTGAACCAACATCTCGCAATGTTGTTGAATGAAAACGGCGGCCCCATTTTTTAAGTCACAGAAGTCACGTTCAATTAAAAGTGTTTTCGAATTCCTGGGGAATAACAAAAGCGGGATATTTGGCATAATTCGTAGCGACTCTGTAGTCATTTGTCACATTCAATTCATTTCCTAGCTTTTAATAGTTTGAGCAGCTAGTCGTATTGAAACTCATTTTATTTTTGCAAGTAGGCTTTTAAAAAGCACTTTTATACGTCCCAGTAATAATCGTACCACTGCTTCGGAAAAATAAATAGGCCAGTGCTAAGAAGATTACTAGATGACTTAATTATTGTGGATTAAATTTGTCTTCAGTGATGAAACTTCTTATCCGATATTGCGCCGCATGTCCTTCCTTGCTTTGTGTGCCTTCATAGCCTGTAAATGAAACCATAATTAAATAACAATTTCTTTTTTGTTTCAGGATTTTGACAAAGCATCATGAATAAGAAATCACATAAGAAAAAGGTTAGTTTTTTCTCGCAAATTAGGCTTTAATAGTGCTAATGTTGTTAGGTTCAAGTCGGAATCGTGCATGCGCAGCGCAGGAAAAGATGGAAATAATCCTGTTTAAAACGATTCTCACCAGCAAAAATTATCAATTAAAAACACCAAACAAAACCGTTATCACGACTTAGTGTCATCATGCCACACACATCAATCAATTCATTCGTGTTTAAAGTAACAGTTTTGGCCGGAATTCAAACTAAACGTCCTCTTTAAGCCATATACAGTGAAATTTCTTTGCATCATTGCTGTAGTTCTTGAAATTTCATTAACCATAGTAGGCTTGTCAAATTATGACCACGTTAATAATGTGACAGTGCGCCCTTCAAGTGCTTTGGCCATCTATGCCCAGACTCCCCTGCCCCTGTCAGGCGGGTATGGCAGCCACTGCTGGCATCTTGGCACGCGGCGCCAATGCTGGCGGGGGCCGGCCATTGATTGATACCGGCACAGTATGCCGATTGACGTGACGTACGAGAACCCCACCGAGGATAGACTTGGGTTTTTAATTAATTTGTGTTGACGTTGAAATCGAAATTAATTAGCTAGCAAGCGTAAGGAATTGGCTCTACAATATGTAACAGCCTGTAGACAGGAAGATACGGAAAGAACTGTGGTGGTTAGAACAAATAAAGTGTCTCAGCTGATGGTACTCTTATGGTGGAAAGACGACCTCATAAAGGTAGCAGGAAGACGCTGGATACAGGCAGCTGCAAACCGGCTAATATGGAAATTATTGGGTTCAACAGGGGACATCCTGTGGTTGAAATAATTATTATGATGAGACTGTTATTATTATTCCTACAGGATTTTCAGTGATACATGTTAAGATTGTTTATGAATTACGAATTATTAAATTGTCAGTCTGGACAAGGTGGACCGACGACATCATAAAGGTAGCAGGAAAGCGCTGGGACGCAAGCCTCTACCAACCGGGTAACATGGAAAGCATTGGGGGAGGCCTATGTTCAGCAGTGGACGTCCTATGGCTGAGATGATGATGATGATGATGAAATTGTCAGTCTTAGAATACAAATATACAAAACCCGCAATCGACTGCAATTATAAGAGCAAGCTACCAAAATACTCCAGCGCTTGGGCAATCGGCCCTTGAATATGAAGATAGCAAGTTCATCTATTTCAGGCGACGCAAGCGCATACACGCAGCTGCAAAAATGCACGGCGATATGACCACAAGGCGCGCTCATTCAGTGGGCTTAAATTGTCAATGACACATTTAACATGTAAAATCCCAAAGCTATCTTTTAGGTAGTCTACCGGAGGAAGTGGTAGAGTCTTGCAAAGATATCAATAAGCAACAAGCAAAAATAAAATCGTATTTTGGGATCGATAAAGATTTTCAAAAAAATTGTATTGTGAATTTGTGAGATAACTTAGAGATCACTTCACAGGAAGCTGTAGAGGTTCAATAAAGTTGGGTTTCAAGTTTAGTTTCACATGAAAATAGAAAACAACCATCAACTGGTCAGACACTTCCCTACTTCAATTCGTAGCAGAGTCGCCTTTTAAGATCATTTTCTTGCACATGGTGTCCCCTTATCTCGATGGCTTGACCTTGCACAAAATGTCTACTCCGCCTCATGTCAATTGTGACGTGACGTATTTCGGTATTTTCGGTAATAACCCGAGTAAGATGCCAAAATCTGATGCCGAGTGAGAAATTACCGGTCTTGGGCAGTTGGGATGCGCGAGGATACTGTTACAGATCTTTAGATTTATTGGAGAGATGAATAAGCAGAACATAGACATATAGCTATGTATTGGCATGGACTTCTTTTAAAAAATTTCATGTATGTATAGTATCATAATATTCATACTTCTATATGTAAGATTTTCATGTAATTACTTTGTATGTAATGTTGTTGGTATACCGTAATAAATAAATAAATAAATTCATAAGTACGAAAGTGAATAAGTTTGTATTAAGTAGGTACTCGCAATAATTACAAATGACAATATTTTCATAATTTCCCTTTAATTGCTGTAAGATCTAAGTTGCTCAGTTCAGTAGGAAGGAAGCATATTATAGGCACTTGATTCCCATAGGAGATAGGAGCCTTGCATTAAATGACAAATGGACAACAAAGTTAGTCATTTGCATGGGTGCCCTTTTGAGGCCCTAAAACTGATGTGTTTACAAAATTCGAGTATGATAGAGTTCTATAAAACATGTGGCATATCCTAGACCTAGTTTCCACTTATCAAAGCAAATCTGAGGTCAAGCAGCCTATCGCAGACCATCTACAGGGCACATGCGCGGGAGTGCTGCCAACGCGAGGCCGTGGGCGGCTCAATTAAAATGTTCGTACCACATGAAAACCAGCCAGTAATTAGATGAAACTATAAAAAGATGTGACAATAAAGAAAATTTAAAAGCAACTGGCGATTACAAAAAGTATGTTCTATGCTATACTCGTAGATAGAACATACAGAAAAAGCCACCGTAAAAGTTAGACTTACGTTATACCATAAAATCTGATTTTTATTATAATATTTGGGCAATAATTAGAAGTATTTTCCCCAACAGCCAGATAGTTTTCACAGTTCCAACTCCTTGCCAGACTGTTTTTTTTAGGTTAGCTCCCAAAGCCACCACGCACGACCCAAACTTCATAATTCACCAACATTAGGTATATCCTATATTGGGAGCATACGCTGACAAACTTTCAGCTTTTATAAAATGACGTAGGTCTGGCGTTCACTAGCTCTTAGTCTAATAGCTCTCGAGATCAAGCTAGTTCGCTTATTGATTTCTTGCAGTAAGCCGACTAGCTTTTTGATTGTTAGTGACTCCGCGCACTAGGCAGCTTGGCTGTGGCAGTCAATCCGTGTATGAACTCTCTTGGCCACACACCGTCATACTCGTAATGTCAAAATCAAAAATATTTTATTCAGTTTAGACCAATATTTTGGCACTTATGTTTGACTGCCTGCCTAGTGTCCGAGAGGCTTTAATCTTATGGTTTCTTTAATATTATGTAGAGCAATATAGGTAACCAGCATGGAGAGTGTAAGCTGAATCCTCCATTTGCCTCTGGTAAATTCGAGAGGGTGCTCCTGAGACTAAATGACTGATGACAAGAGACCAAGACTACATCTTTTAACTTTGATCGTTTATCATAATTTCATGATTAAAGAGGGTGTCATTTTTGAACAATTAATTCGTCTTAAACACCAATCACAACATTTTCCAAAGGCACTTAGCGAAATCATTAACAAAATATGTCACGGAATAGATGTGCGAGATAAACAGCGCAGGCGCATGTCAATATGACGAGCGCGGCGACAGCGGCCACGCGCCAAGTGGGCGGGCATTGGCAGCGCTATTAGGACAATTTGTTGTAACTTTCCACCGCGAAACTATGTTACATCATTGTATTAGACAGATCTTTCAATTTTGTGGATATTAGTCAAGGTCCTATGCATGATATTAAGATGAGTACAGGCCACATCAAATGAAAGAAGCTGTCACCTTGCCCACAAAGGCGATACGGTACGTTAGGGGTTACTCGTAGGTATGTATAAAACTCCATTATCCAACCATATGTAGAAAACTATACTAAGGCTGGATTGCACTATCTTTGACTATAACAAAAGTCATAAATCTATCAAACTCCATACAAAAGTCACCGGTTATCGTTATAGTTACGGTTAAAGTAAGGGTGCAACCCAGCCTAAGTTTTCTATCCTGAAACATAGTTTTTCATGCATAAATATTTCGGTAGAGTTAAGAAGGTTATTTTGTAAAATTCAAACTTCTTTTCTTTGGAAACTTTGAATCAAACGGTTGATTCACAGACTAACTACTCAACCTATTTCCGAAACAACAACAGTCACAACTGTTGCTATTTTTATTGCCGGCATTCTTTCAGTTCGATGTACAAACGCTCTAGCTGCCGTAAACATGGCATCCTCACAAAGCGTCGATCAATCGCCGCCATTTTATGGGGTCTGAAGGAAAACATCGTTTGTGTAGGCGCTGATCGAAGCAACACTAACTCATTTGGAAATCCGATATATTGATGCGCGCGCGCCGCTACTGAAAGATTTACGTGCGGAAGACATTGATTAGAATTTATTTTATGTTAAATCCGAATTTTTGTGATGTCTTCTTTTCCATTTTTACACTTAAATAAAAATGTTATATCTTTATAAACCACAAGTCACCAAATTAATTGTTATTGCCAATTTCGGTAAATATTGAACGTAAACCGACCGACTTCATGATACTATGCCTGTAGACAAAGCGACATTTACAACAATAATAGAACGTTGATAGTTTTGAAAAGTCTCTCAGAGCTATCGTCATGTAGAGGTATAGGTCTTCCTTCCATGGGAAAATAATCTGTATCATGCTGGCCGTTGATGTTGAGGTATACGGTTTATTTTGAGTAGTTTTCGGTAATAATAATTAAATCAAACTTTCCACATTCAACACGATTCCGAGCCAATAAAAATCCGATTTGAACCGAATCCAACATTGTACCGCAATGTAATAATATGTCAGCTCTTTGTTTCTGCTCGGGAACATATCTGCCAAGAAAAATAGAGGATGATAACACGACGTGACGACAGGAATAGAGGCAGCCGAAGAATGCAACCATTTTGGACTTTAGTGCAGTATGCATAAAGACGTATGCTGCTTTTGGAAGCTGAACGTGTCAGGACAATGAGCGAGCGCGAACTTTGTTGAGCAGGTATGCTGGGTTGGGGACCTGCATATATCTCAAATAGATAAATGTTCGTATTCTGGGTAGCATCAGTAGCTCTCGTCGTAATATGTCACTAGCCAATTTTTCCACACTCTATTAATCTAGGTAACAAATGCGAAAGTTTTTTTGTCAACATTTAGATATATGACGTCGGTCGTGAACTGAAAAAAACGAGTTTGTTCTAAAATTAACACAATATCAGAACATACTTTAATTATTAAGCGGATCAGTTAAATCTATCGACTCTACATATAGTAGCTTTTTTAAGTTTAGAGGAAGTTAAGAACAGTTACACTTGCTACGATTTTTACGTAGCGCTGTGCTACGAAGGTCTCAAGTTTCTAATAATTTAAGTAATTTTAGTGGAGAATCAATCATGTACTTACAATATATTAAAATAAAGACAATACAATCACAATAATGTACCCTTTAAAACTTCGACCAATGTTTTGATAAGAAATAATTTTAATTATATCATGGTTTAATAGTACAATTGAATGGCTAAAAGCAAATTAGCAAGTACATAGAAATTCCATTTTGTTCTACTTCCTTGTTCCAGCTCCAACACTCAATAAAGTAAGGTCGATAGCATTAGATTAATGTGTTTGCCATTAATTCCCTCTCGAGCTCGATTCGCGTGCCCCGAGCAATGCTCTGCCAATTGTTTGGATACCACTCCCAGAGCTAATTCATACACATTATACACTTTAGGGCCATGTTCTAGAGATTTAGTAGTCCTGAATATGATAGGACTAAAGTAATTTGAATTTAGGAAGATTATTTCAAAATGTCACGGCATATTAAAAAAATTGATTCTGATTCAGCTCACTCAAATGTCAAGTCTCATTCGCCGTATGGCGTCTTATGTTCCAACCTTAACCCAACCAATTTCACGGTCACATAAATCACTGGCAGGGTTATGATATGGATTTTTACATCGGCCATTGGCAAGGCGAGTCAAGTGGCGAACAGAAATACACCTAGACAACGCCTACCAGAGCTCATTCACAACATTCGCGCGTCACCTCGGGCTCCCTGGGGCTTCATAAAAACAGTCTGACATCGTCTCCGGGCCAGCCAATGTTCCGCCGCATTTTCTGTGTAAGCTTTCGTATGTTTACGCGAATACCGTGAGATTTATTGCGAGGAATCAGAGAAACGGAAACATAAGTCATGTTTAAATATGATGGATGACGTGATGAGATGTGCGTGTTTTTGTAGCAGAAGAAGCGTGGTAAGGGCGACGCGAGGAACAAGGAAAATGTCTCCGAGGAGGAGCAGCAGGTCAGGCCGGAGGACGGGGCCGGAGCGGAGGCCGCGCCCGCGCCGCCCGCAGACAGTAAACTCTGCTACGAAGTCAAACACTCCGACGTGATGGGGAGGTAATTTAACCTAATTTATTTAACAAACATTTTATGTTTCTGGGTTCTTGTTGAGTAAAACTAATTCAATATTTTTCATATCAAATCGCGGAACACGCTGAAAGCTATTTCTATTCGTTTTATCGGTCTAAACACAACTCAATCCGCCTACTTAACCCAATGGATTTATGAAAACGCTAAAGCGTTTTCTTCCTATGATAACTGAAATATGTAAATTGACGTATTTATTGTTTTTTTTAACTAACGCAAATATAACATCGACATAAATTAAAGGAAACAAAGCAATTTAACCCTACATTTCAGACATTTCGAAACACTTTTACCGACATTTATTTTTGTGATAATATTATACCGAATTGCTTTATATCTGCAAAAGAATGGACAAAAAATTTAATACTTCTCAACGACAGTTTTTCCAAACTTCAATAGCGAAAACTCTACCTCTTAATCAGCGAAAGCTGACGAAAACGCAGGCGTAAATCGATACGATCTTGTTAACAGCGGCATATTTAATCTTTTGTATTTTAGTCCATGCCTAAAGACTGCTGTGACTCTGTGTTTCTCAATTTATTTATTTCCTATCCTGGTAGCCAATGGTTTTTGCGGTACCATTTCAGGTACCTCGTGGCGGCGCGTGACATCCGAGCGGGCGAGGTGATCATCGAGGAGCCGGCGCTGGCCGTGGGCCCCTGCGCCGGCTGCGCGCTGGTCTGCCTCGGCTGCTACCGGGAGCTGGACGACTCCTCGCTGGCCAAGTAAGGCTCCTGTCACTATGAAGGTACATGGCGGTGCGCGACAGCCGAGTGGGCGAGGTGATCATCGAGGAGCCGGCGCTGGCCGTGGGTCCCTGCGCCGGCTGCGCGCTGGTCTGCCTCGGCTGCTACCGGGAGCTGGACGACTCCTCGCTGGCCAAGTAAGGCTCCTGTCACTATGCAGGCACCTGGCGGGTGCGCGCGACATCCGAGCGGGCGAGGTGATCATCGAGGAGCCGGCGCTGGCCGTGGGCCCCTGCGCCGGCTGCGCGCTGGTCTGCCTCGGCTGCTACCGGGAGCTGGACGACTCCTCGCTGGCCAGGTAAGGCTCCGTCACCATGCAGGTACCCGTCGGCGCGCGAAAGCCGAGTGGGCGAGGTGATCAATGCGATCATCGCAGAATCAGCGCCGTACCTACCACACTACCTGCGCCTTGCGTTTTATCAAGAAACACTACATTTCTCTCTCTTTTTTTTCTCAATCACTTGTGAAAATAGTTATCATTAAGCCGGATTTATATTTATGCACCTAGAGTGTTGTGTCGTGTCGTGATGGCTTCTGGCGTGTCGCATAATCTATATAGCCGATTCCGTTCTGATGTTTACTTGTTCCAGCAAACCACAGCCATGTGTTAACAATGATAATTTTGAATTTGCAGATGTCGCGGCTGCAAGTGGCCCATGTGCTGCACAGCTTGCCCGGGGCAGGGCAAGTACACCGGCCACTCCAGCTACGAGTGCGACACCCTGAAGAACATCCCACCGAACTACGAGGACCTGGAAGACTTGAGAGATTGCTACCACGCACTCATGCCGCTGAGGTGACTTGACATTACATTTTAAACATTGTCATCATTATTTCAGCCACCGGACGTCCACTACTGAACATAGGCTTCCCCTAATAATTCAAGATTGGCAGTCAAAGATTTCAAAAGTCGATTCATCGAAATTCGGCATAGAAAAGTATCTTACTCTTGACAAGCCATAATCACAGATAAATGCCATAACTTACCATTGTATTTATTATTATTCTGTGGTAGGACATAGTTCGCAGAATCGTTAAAAGTACATAAGTGGGGCACATAGCTCGTAGAGCTGATGGCCGCTGGGGCAGAAAAGTTCTCGACACGTAGTGTGGGCAGCCCTCCCACTAGGTGGACCGACGATCTGGTGAAGGTCGCGGGAGGTGCTTAGATGCGAGCGGCGCAGGACCGGTTCTTAGTGGAAAACCTTGGGGGAGGCCTTTGTCCAGCAGTAGACGTCTTTCAGCCAAAACGAACGAACGTTTACATTCCATAAATGTACGAGTATAGGTAGCTCTACACTATTTTCGTCACTTTGCGTCATCATAACAGGCCATCCGCTCCAGCTAATGTTGTTCCAAGTTAAAACCACAAACTGTTTCTAACTCCTGCTTCTCAGATGCCTTCTCCTAAAGAAGTTCGACGCCGCCAAATGGTCGGCTCTGTCGGCGATGGAGGCTCACAACGAGCTGCGGCGCGAGCGCGGCGACATCTGGCCCATGAACGAGCGGCTGGTGCTGCAGCGGCTCAAGAAGTGGCGGCTGGAGTTCGATCCCGAGGAGGTGCACACTGTGTGCGGGATCTTGGAGGTGGGTTCATGACAGTAAACGAAAGATTTACTGATTAAATACAGACTGAAACAGCAATAAAATAAGACAACGATAACTACGAAAAGTGTACATCAAATCAATTTTAAATGGTAGATGTTAGTGTGACTAACTAGCGATAACAATCGCTCTTGGCCAGTAAAACCGACTCCTTTATGAAATTTTCTTTCATACAAACCATTTTCTCGCCATAAAACCTACGCTGAGTTACGATAAAAAAAATAAAACTAAAAATCAGCTAAATTGGCACAACCGTTCTCGATTTTCAGCGAGACTAATGAAGAGCAGTAATTTTTTATAGAGCCTAAATAAATCTAAAAAGATGTAGGTACTATGTATCTCTATATTTCAGGTAAACGCCTTCGAAGTGGGAGGCAGCGGTGCCAACGCGCGAGCCCTGTACGACCGCGCCTACCTGCTGGCTCACGCTTGCACGCCAACCACCACGCACACTGACGCCGAGAGGAGGCCAGGCCGACCCCTGACGATTCGAGCGTCAGTCCCGCACAAGAAGGGAGAATTGTTGTCCTTGTGCTATGCGTACACGTTACAGGTGTGTAGTATGATTTAGCCAAATGACGTCCACTGCTGGACAAAGGATTTCCATAACAACCGGTCCTAGGCTACCCACATTTAGGTGCTTTCAGCTTCCACGACCTTCATCGACGATCATATTCAGAATACATTGCTAAGTGTATATCGTTCCAAGTTGGGGCAGCAAGGTTCTAGAGTACAGGTCACGTAGTCGCAAGCGTAGCTTAGGACGTCCAGTCCATCCACAACAGATCAACAAACGACCTCAAAAAGATAACAGGAAGACGCTGGATGCAGGCTGCTATCAACTGACCAATCTAGTAATCATTAAGGGAAGCTTATACCTATTTCGATGGCTCCTACGTATAAGGGCGAAACTGCCGCTTACGCCTTTTTCCAATTATTTAAGCAATGATTTCACTTTGCTCTAATCTATAACATCAGTAAGAAAAAAAATTTTTTTTTCCATTAGATACAAAATAAAATTTTAGGCAAATAGGCGTATGTGCAAAACTACGCCACGTATAAAGCCCAATCATACGATTCGTCAATCTATACGAGTAGTTGCTTACATAAACATATATTTTTTATAATCCAAATCTTAAATAAAGCCATGAAAATATTTAGCAAATTGTTTTATTTATAAATTATGACACATTATATAGTTATTTAATTTTTAGCGTTAAGAGTCGCATCTCAAACTAATTTGAAAATTAAAAATAACTTGAAAAAATCGAACTGCCTAAGGCATCGTGGGTTCAATTCCCGCCTTAGGCAATTCGATTTTTTCAAGTTATTTATATTTTTTAAAAATATGACACATTATGTTAAAAGACCTAACTAAATCTCGAGCACAGTATATGGGCGTATTTGCGTTAAAACGTAAAACGGTACATTAAACGACTTTTTCTAACTGATTTATTATTGATATAGCACATGATAACAATTAAAATAATTACATGCATAAATAAAGAGAGTAATCGCTTAAAATATTATATTTACGTTGTCATTTAAGTCTCTTTACGTTGAACAATATACATGAAATTATAGAAATATGCCGACGTAAAAGGGCAATGCGTAAAATCTCAAAAAATATAAGAAAAATATAAAAATTGATAACAGCAGTAGCAAAAGCATTACATGTTAAGGCTAAATGTGAAATTTCATTAAATTCGTTTTAGTAGGTCAGAAGATATGACCCAAAAATATGGTTCTGGCCACTAAAATGGCTCTCCTGTAAAATTTACTTTTTTCACTTACGCCAGTATACGTAGGAGCCATCGATTTAGCAATGGATTACCTGAGCGGAAATGATGATGATCATGTAGAGGCTATGTAGAGGCTATGTAGAGAGCTTTTTTAAACTTTCCGTTCGCGTCTTGACGTTTCGGCTGCGATGCTGCAGCCGTGGTCACAAGCAGACTGGCGGTTCGGATTGGCTGTACGTTGCGTTATCGTACAATTGCAAACATCAGCAATCGATTGCTATGCGCGGCTGACCCAATATTTTATGTTTTACATTATTTTTTTAGTGTTCGATTTAGCAGCCTAACAAGTGGCCGCAACTCTCGTTAATCAATTATTGTACCTTTATACGTAATCAAGTAATAAATATCTACACTCAACAAGGAGTTTGAATCATTCTCTTCATCATCAACATAATCAAGAAAGGTGTATAGCTAGCAATAGACCATACATTGGCGAAACGTCAAGCCGTGAGTACATAATGTAACTCATTAATAAACGTCGCGTTAAGACCCGTGTCTCACTATTTTAATTGATATGTAGAGAGCTGTTAGCAATGAGGGCTATCGTTTTAGCGCTCACCAGTTGGCGCCACTGTAGAGTAAGGTCCTGTCACTTGCTAGTCGCGAAGACAGTGGCGCCAACTTGTGAGCGCTAAAGTGGTAGGAGGACTATCGCATTTGCACTCATCAAGATGGCTCCACTGTAGAGTAAGGTCCTGTCAATCGCCAGGGGTGCCAACTGTTAAGTATAAAAACGATAGCCCTCATTGACATCCTGTGGCTGATATAAAGATGATGATGTCGTTCCGCAGGGCACGCTGAAGCGGCGCGAGCACCTGCTGCACAGCAAGTTCTTCGAATGCGCGTGCGCGCGGTGCGCCGACGCCAGCGAGCTGGGCACGAGCGCGAGCGCGTTCCGCTGCCCCGCGTGCGCCGGCCGCGTGCAGCCCACCGCGCCGCTGCGGCCCGCCGCGCCGTGGCGCTGCGACGCCTGCGGGTACACCATGGTGGCTGATGCGGTGCAGCTGCTGCTCAAGAGGTTGGGGTTTTTCAGCGAAATTGTAAATTCATCAACCGTTCATTTGAAAGGGAATTTTGGGGTAGGCGTATGTTCAGCAGTGGACTTATTGTGGCTGAAATGATGATGGTCCATGCATAGACTGTGCTATGAGATCCATATTAAACCATTTATGCATCATACCGTAGAAAGAGGTTGGAGTTTTCAGCGAAAATGTGAAAATTATCAACCGGTTAATTTGAAAGGGAATTTTGGGGTAGGCTTATGTTCAGCAGTGGATATCCTGTGACTGAAACGATGATGTTAACATTAATAAACTCCACGCATAGACTGTGCTATTAACCATATTAAGCTTAGGCGCAGACCACCAACTTTTAGTCGGCCGATAGTAGAAATCCGTGTAATGTGCGCACTTCCACACATGTCCACTGATTTAACAGCCCGACCCAACTATCGGCCGACGAAAATTCGGTGGTCTACCTACCTGTAGTGGTGTGGTGGCCTAGGCTTAATCATTTATGCAACATGACGTAGATGTTGCGTATCATTGGCTAAATGAACTTGACGAGGAACCCTGTCTGGTAATTCGTTTGGACGCGCAAGTTTCAAACTCACTACATAAAACAGCCGCCGTATTATCCACATCTACAAGTTCTGCTTATCTAAAGAACCTGCAAATACGAATGACACAGTTTTCTCAATCCCTAATAATATTAGAAATGCGAAAGGAACCCTGTCTGTGTCGCTTTCACGCCTAAACCTATTAGTACGAGAGCCCACGACCAAAACCATGTCTCATAGCAATACGGCAAAAACCCTATAAAATCGTTAGATTGTATGATTCTGAACCCGACTAGGTGTGTAGTAACGGTCGAAAGTGTAGCAACTGCGTGGGAGGCCATTTCTGCGACAAAAGACAGTCGGTATTATAGCAATACGTCTGATAGTGAAAATGTACATAGATTTTATAATTGTATTACGAAAAAGTTTGTTTTCAGACATTTTGCGCGTAGCATATAGCCTGAGCGAATTTTTGAAAATGTCAACAAATTTAGCCGACCTGTATACCTTTACGGGTTTGCGCTACACCACTAACGTCTGAAAAATATGTTTCCGGTATCTCAGAACTATCATTCAACTACAGTCTGCAAATCAGACATATTGCTATGATGCAGTTCGGTAAAATTCTTTGACAATTCGGTCAGATCAAACGCTACGCGGAAAATGTCTGATATTGTTTTTTTCGAGTTCAGGATAATCGTATCTATCGATTTGATGCGGTTTTGGCCGTATTGCTATGAGACAAAAATTTTGGTCGTGGGCTCTCGTACTATAAGGGCATAGAGATAGTTTAAGTCCCGGGAAAGGGCATAGGATAGTTTTTATCCCGGTTTTTGAAACAGGGACGCGCGCGAGTTTTTCTGTGACAGACAAAATTCCACGCTAGCCAAGCCGCGGGCGGAAAGCTAATGATAGAATAACATGATGTTTTTACGTGCACGTGCAGGCTGACGGACGAGTACGAGCAGATCGACGGCAACGACGTGCCCGGCTTCGAGGGCTTCCTGCACAAGTACCGCAACGTGCTGCACCCCACGCACTACCTCTGCCTCTCGGCGCTACACTCGCTCAGTCAGCTCTACGGGAAGGTCGGTCTTTCAATCCAATTCAATTAAAATGTTTTACTGCTCCATGTGCACAAGGTGGACCGACGACATCATAAAGGAAGCAGGAAGGCGCTGGACGCAGGCCGCTACCAACCGGGCAACATGGAAAGCATTGGGGAGGCCTATGTTCAGCAGTGGACGTCCTATGGCTTATATGATGATGATGATGATTGCTCCATGTTGGTATACAAAGGTTCTTACATAATAGACATAGACCCGTAACATAAACCCTGGACTTTCACGAGATTAAACCAGCAGGATAACTCAATTTAGCGATTGCAGAAAGCAAGTAACTGCACCCACAAGATGGACTTGACTTACTTGACTTATGGTCCTATGTCCCCTAGATGGGGCAGAGGGCGTCCACAACAGTCCTCCACAAGGTGAACCTATGACTTTATAAATGTAGCAGAAAGGCGCTGGATGCAGACCTCTACCAACTGGTACATATGGAATGGAAATCATTGGGGAAGGCCTTATTCAGCAGTGGTCGTCTTCTGGGTGAAATTATAATGATATGAGAAAATGTTATTATTCTCCAGTTATTCTTTTAATGCGCAATCACTCCTGATCTGAAATGCAGTCTAGTCCTCTACCTGCCATCCTGACATCGTCAATAGTATTTGCAATCGTTTAATGGCATTTGGGTTGCCTTCAGGTCACACACGACTTTGAAACATAGTCGAAAACTTTTTATAAGTACACCTTCACAAAATCGCATGCCAGCAAGATCTTCTTTATTATTCCAGGTTACTGATTACATGATCCACGAGATGCCAGAATCTGAACTGAACAGGAAGATACAAATATGCAGGGATTTGATGAAGGTCTTCGATGTGATCGAGCCAGGCTACTCGCGCCTCAGAGGTATTGTCGCAATCATTAATCAGGCTATTAATTAGTCTACAAATAATTATATTTTTAATTTTGTTACTCTTCCTGCACATTTTTCTGTGCCGTACGTATTATCGCTTACTAGTTGGGGCCTATCTATGTACTTGCGAGCTATACGGTAGCTTTCATTATGATCCTCCAAGTTAAACCCAAAATTCAATGACATTTCAACTATTTCAGGGGTGACGCTGTACGAGCTTCACGCGCCCCTGATGATCCTCACCACACGAGACTTCGAGAGAAAAGCTATCACCAAAGAAAATCTTCGGAATCGACTGAAAGAGGTGAGTGACACTAAAATCAACAGATGAATTTCCAATTAAAGAAAAAGTTGAAGGACACCAAAAGACACTGAATTTTCAGTAAAGCTTTGAAAAATTCATCAAGTCCAAGTAAAAAATAAAAATCCGTTTAAAAATAATGCCATATGCACAAACAATTTAGACCCTTAACCCTTAATTTAATATGTTAATCAGGTGAATATTTTAAAGAAATCACCGTTCATTTGGGTTTTAGATCGTGGGCTACTTGACCGAGTCGGCTCTGATCCTCGGTTTTGAACCAGAGAAGTCCTCCGAAGGCCTAATGGCGGCGGCAGCCAGGGACGCGCTGAAGAAGATCAAGACTTGGGAGCAAATCATCGGGAAAATATCATGAAGCAAAACATTTCCCCGATAAAGAATTTTGTGACAAATGTTTGGGACTATGTTAATGATATTTGGTTTTTGAGAGGGATTTTTGAGAGCATAAAGAATTGTGTAGTTTTTGTAAAGATATATTTTTGTCTCTTTGTTGATTGTGCATTAATATTTTAAAATATTTATATTCATGTATGAAAATATGTATTTAAGTGAATTTGAAATAACTTCCTTGAATGTGATATTGTACCTTATGTACTCTTAATTATAATATTTCTTCGACTAATAAGACTAAATTTTACTTTTTTAAAAGTTCTTATGTTTAAGATCTATCTACTTTCATATAAGACTTCTTTTATATAAGATTAATAAAAATAATTTTCATTTTAAAACTATTTTGTGGAACTTTTATATTTTGAACATATTTATTCATTCCTTCTACTAAAAGACAATCGAATATGGCGTGTTATTATTTATTTTAAAATTTGTATATTTAGACATTCGTTTAGCATTTCGATTAAATATGTTTTGTATTAATTTTGGTCTTTTTTTAACCCACAACTACAAAGGCCAAGCACAACGATAAATCTTATTACCGAAACAGAAAATGACGATAATGTTTTGATCACATTGAAGCAAAATAATCAAAATTAAATCGGGAACCCTAGCCTAACCTTAACCCTAACCCTCGGGAAATCAAAGAATAAGCCTATGTTGGTAATCTCTGCAGGTCTAAAACAGTATCGACTTTACTGGAAGGGGTTACAGGTAGGACCCCAGCCTCCTGAGAGACTCAAAAGACCGATAAATTGCATACAAGAAAAAAATGTTTTTAAACTTTTTAACAAGATCATTCCAAACTTATGCAAGCCCATGGTATCCCAATCTACACACAAATTCATGAATCATCATGCGAAGTTTGAATCTAGAGATATGAGACTAGGAGGCTTTAACATATAATAAGTAGAAATTACTTACTGTACTAGCTAAGTTGTTTTACTTAAGTTTGTTTTTAGGTAAGTTTGGAAAGAATGCATTTCATGTACCTACCTAATGAATTTTGTTGCTATCTTGATACTTGCCAAATTGAAGTAAATCGTAAACACCTTATTTACTTACTGATTAGGGTTGAGCCAATAAGAATATTAAATGAAATAATATTTTCTTGTAAATATAAACAAATAATGTACCTATTTGGTTTTGCAAGACTAAAATTGCAAAGCTATAAGGCCAGGTACTGGTAATGCATCATGCTAAATAATTTACACGACCTCTTAAATAGATATTGAGAAGTATGGCAAAGCATCTAAATTAGGCCAAATTTTGACAATAGCTGGCATCCCTAGTATCGAAATACAGTGTGGAAGCGTCGAGTGTCTTCGACGGGTTATTTTTACCGCGCGAATGCGCGTGCGCCGCAGTCCGCCCGGCTTTACCACGTTACTGGTGTCAAAGTGAACATCGTTTTGTACAGTATTTTTAAAGTGAGTGTGAATAGTAATTTGAGATAATATACAAAGTAAAAACAAGTAAGTTATACCCATAATTTTGTTATAACTTTTCAGTTAGAATAGCTAAGGCATAGTGATTTAATTAATATGGGTCAGCTGTAGCAACCAAAACAGCTGGGTTCCTTCATTCTTTCATTTGGCATTTAAGTATTTTGAGTTCTGAACATTAAATACGAGTACATTACACTGAAAAATTTAATTTCACTACGAACGATTTCCGATATACCCATGACATTAGCAGTGCCTAGTGTTTCACTATAAGCAACAAGTTGCAGCGCTGCTCCTTTCGGTGAAACTTCTATTGTAAAATTAATAATTATTTGTATGTTACATTATTTACCCAAAATATTATCCATAAAACTTCTATAATTACGCTCTACATAACCATAAATACTTTCAGGAAATGCCCCCTAAAGGCGTATGCGCAGTTTGCCTCTCACCAGCAGAACAGAAGTGTTCTGGCTGCCAGGAGGTGCACTACTGCACCAAAGAACACCAGAAGCAGCACTGGAAGGAGCACAAGGGGAACTGCAGCCCTTTGAGGGTCAAAGAGGATGCACAGTTTGGGAGGTACCTGGAGGCGACCAGGGAGATAAGAGCTGGTGATATTGTTATGAAGGAGAAGCCACTAATCACTGGGCCTGCACAGGTAAAAAGAAAAAGCTTTGTATTTTTTTAAATTAAGGAAGATAAGTATATAGTTAAGTATACAGGATTTCAACGTTTTCGTAAAGTTTTAAAGCGGGTTCAATCTTAAAGAAATACATTTATTGGCAGTTTAAATGCTAATAAAACCTAAAAGACATTCATTAAATAGTAAACAGAAAACGCGGCCCGTTAAAATAAATGATTATTTCTATGATTTTATCAAACGTTGAGAATTCTATCACCGCCTTTTATTTAACAAATCACAAAGCTATTATTACTGACGGGATTGCTACCATGTACCTTAATTTTGAGTTTCATGACCATGTCGCTTGCAATAGTGCCGAAATATCGAAATATAATTTTGAGTGTCCGATATTTCGGCACTGTTGCAAGCGCCATCGTCACGAAACTCAAAATTAAGGTACATGGTAGCAATCCCGTCAGTAATAATAATTATGTTAGTGACCATGAAAGTTTAAAACAATAAAATCACAAAGTCATCGACGTAAGTCCATTTTCAATATTCCAGATCACCCCACCAGTGTGCCTGGGCTGCTACAAGCTGCTGGAGGAAGGCAAAGTGGTTCCGTGCGACAAGTGCGGCTGGCCCTGCTGCTCCGAGGAGTGCACGCGCAAGGAGGAACACCTGCCCGAGTGTCACTACACTCAACAGAGGGGGGAGAAGGTAGCATTGGATGACTAGCTTATAATTTATCTCATACCTCAGCTACACTACACTACGACTTAGTACACTACCGAAGTTGCCCGAGTTCTTAGTGTAGTCAGAGTTTTGCGTTCCAAAGTTTGAGCACGTAGTGCTCAAACTTTGGAACGCTTTGAGCCCTTGGACTCGGGCGCAAAACCGCCAACTTTCAGAAAGCTGGCGAGCCAGGAGATTGTTTTAAGCGAAGTGTAGAGCTGTCTACACTAACTGATTTTGATTAACTTCGACCAATATCGCGAGTTTGCATAATGGGTGGAGGATTTAAGAAGCACGCAACCATAGACCGTTGTCACTAGATATCAACGGTTAAGACCAATGTTGAACAGTTCTCTAAAAAGTATATAACCCTATAACGCTAATTCAAACCTATGACTAACATGGTTGTTTAAAGAAACTACCTACTACCGATGTAGTTAACCAAATTTTTTATCGTATGTAATTGTGATTTTTATCAATAAGTCACTTACCTTGCACCGTTCTTCTTCTCCAGGTCTCAATCTCGACATTCGGAGTACCGCACCCCAACTACCAGAGCATCACAGTGCTCCGCTGCCTCTACCAGCGGGACCACGATGATAAGCTGTGGGCCAAGCTCCAAGCCCTGCAGTCCCACTGCGAGGACCGTCGAGGCACGGAGAAGTGGGACCACGACAGGAAGATGGTCGCCGAGTTCATTTGGAAGTTCTTCAAGCTGGAAGGGAAGTTCAATGAGGAGGAGATCATGAAGTGCTGTGGGATTTTGCAGGTACTTTTTAGACGTTTTTGAAAAGTCACACATTAGATTCTCTTTGTGTGTTTTATGCTTATTAAAATCAGATTCACAACCAGTGCCACTGAGAACACTGGCCTAAGCTGCAAAAGAAATCTGAAGGGAGGTACAATTTCTCGAGTTTCTGGGAAAATGTTGAATAATGATGATGGTTGGTATGGAAATATTCCAGATGTAGAAGATATGGAAAACTACATGATAATCATTCGATAAAAGTTTAATGTTGTTTTACCAGCATCACGTACGACCTAGATACTGAATTATAGCTCTTTGTTATTGTTAATTTACTTACTGCGATTAAGTCTGTTTGTTTTATGGGAGGAGAATTACCTATCAGAAGTATTTACTGACATGACAATGCAATACAAGTCCTAGGGAAAACTAAAATCTCGTGGAACCCTAAGTGATCGCATTAGACCGGTTTTGTGTCTTGATTCATTGGTACTTGAAAGGATAGTTAACTTAATCATATAAATAGTATAGTTAGTTAGTTATTAGTACTTAGGTACAAGAAATACGGAAAAACTGAAAGAAAAAGCAAACATTTATTCAGCAAATCTGTTGAAGATCATCTCAAGGAATGTGATAAACGCGTAAGATCATTACATACTACGCATAACATGACGACTTTTGCCAGTGACCTTGGGCATTATCAGGCTGAGATTATGGACCATAACTTCAGTAATCCCATCTCTGCTTCTAGTAAACAGACTTTAGATCTTTATCCATGTATTACTTTCGCAGATAATGACTATAATAATGCCTAGTCTTAAAGAAAAACCCAATATGACTTTTGAGAAACATGGTCTTATATTGGCAAATTGTTCTAAAATGTTTATAAGCTTTGAATGATTAACCGAGATAATATTTGTTCCAGATCAACGGGCATGAAGTGCCTTTGATGGAGCCGGAGTACGTAGCAGTGTTCGACCGCATCTCCATGGCAGAGCACAGCTGCCGGGCCAACTGCAATAAGAGCTTCACTTCTGATGGACAAATTGTAAGTCAGAACACCCCGATAACCATACATTAACAGTGTTGTATTGTAGCGCCGGGCAAAGTACAAAATTAGACGCTGCTGTCTCAGCTAAGACTCAGCTATCCTGCTATGACGGCCCACTCATGGCTAAACTGTTGGTAATAATCCCCAAAATTAATTTAGGAATACCGTTTTTGCAATAAACTCAATTTAAAACAGAGAACAGGCTTACGAGACTTTACCAACATTAAGAAGAAAGAACGAAACATTTATTACGATGAACATCACTTAGTTAAGGACGGAGAACGTATACAGAAAAAAAGACAAATAGCACATAAATATTACAAGGAAATAAAAATAAATTAAGGGCATTAGCTGAGCATTTATGTGAGATAGAGTAAGTAGGATCATAGCAGAGGATTAAGGGTTATTGCCACGAGTTGCCCTTGGTGCTAAATGCAAACACAAGAACTAATTAACTCCACTCACAGGCTCACACCGATGCAAGCATAAGCCCTCGGGTTCCCAGAAGTGTTGAATACCCAACGTTTCTGAGACTCTCGAGAGCCAACCTGCGCCCGAGTCACACGTGTGCGACCTTTGTGTCAGTCGTGATCGCGGATTACGTAATGCTACATGATATTGCTATGTAATAGTGTCTTTAGAATTGTTTGGACAAGACTATTTAACCGGTCATGTAAAGTTTAAGCAGTCGGGTTTTTAATTCTTAGCTCTCCTTTTGACTCTTTATAGATCACCATAGTTATTCCAGAAATACAGGTAGTATTTCTATTAGTAAGATACCTAAACTAAATCAAACCTAACCAAAAACTAAATCAAAGATCCTAATAGGAGTTTACTTTAGACTAATCAATATATGTAAAGTATAGTCTTTCATTCCCTGAATCGCAAGTCGCAGCCTTAAGATTGTATCAGTGACATAATCCAAACCCACAATCTGGGGACTGGTGACAATGAAATTACGTTCACCCAACATTCCAGATCCTCTGCGCTGGAGTGAACATCCCTTCCGGATCACACGTCTCAGTGTGTTACACAGACCCCATGTGGGGAACAGAGGCGCGCCGCCACCACCTCGCCGATTCCAAGTTCTTCGAATGCAGCTGCGAGAGATGCGCAGACGCCACCGAGTTCGGGACTAACTACAGCGCCGTCAAGTGCAAGAAGAAGTAAGTTCTTTGGCTCCCAGTATGTTCACTTTTTAAAACCAGTTGATCGTCGTCTCAACTTCCTGAAAAGAAGGTCTCTCCCAAAGATTTCTACAGCACCTGCCTTACCTACCTCTTTCCTGCACCGATGCGTATCCTGCGATCCTCATCAGATTATCGGTTAACCGAATGGAAGACCTGCCAGCACTGTGTTTTCGGATCTTTCTGGCCATCAGTTAACTGCATGTACCTAAACGAGGAAATATAATTAGGGTTTCTGCTCGAGCTTTCTCGAACTCGAGAAAACTCGAGAAATTTGTCTTCATTCGAGACGAGAAAAAAATTACCGGAGCTCGAGAATTCTCGAGTTTCGATTTTGAAGCTTTAATATTCTTGAAAGCCTATTTTCTTAGACAAAAGTAAGTTTTTAATTATTTAAAAGGTTAACGTTGCGTTTAGACTGGCCTAGTCTTTCCTTTTTTTAACTAATTTGATTTGCAAGTAATGATCTTAACCGAAACTAATAATGTTCACCTACGAGTATGCTATATTTTATTATGTTTGTATAACTGACTGATTTAAAGACTGAAATTTTTTTGTTAACTATCTGTTAGTTTAGGTACTCGTAAATACGTTTATTCAAGTCGTTATCTTTAAGTTTAAAAATTTATATAAAGTTTTTTTTTGTTTGTAAATGTAGGTTTATTATCGTAATTTTTCAATTAATTTGGACTTGTGTTCTTTGGAAAACAAGTGATTCAATTGGAGCTCCAGATATTTATGGTTATTAATCCTTAAAGTACACGCGACTTTATGACTTTTGTTCCTTTAGTTAATTACTAAGTTATAATTATCCTACTAATATCATAAATGCGAAAGTTTGTGTGGATGTCTGGATGTTTGTTACTCTGTCACGCAAAAACTACTGAACGGATTTTGTTGAAACTTTACAGTATTATTGATTATAACCCAGACACATTATAACATTAATAAAAACCCGTGTTTTTATTAAATTTCAACCGATTTCAACAGTTTTAATTAAAAGACTCGAGACCCGAGAAAACTCGAGACTTTGGCCTCGAGAATTCCCGAAACTCGAGAAAAAAAATAAGTCGAGAAATCAGAAACCCTAAATATAATACAAGTATTATGTAGAGAACCAGCGCAGATAGAGTGCAATGCTTAACTATCGATAAAAAAAATCTCTTTTTTTATTTTTATTTTTCTTTATTTCATTTAAACTATATTATAATGTAAGATTTTTCTTCCAGAGATTGTAAAGGCTACCTGCTCCCGAAAACGTTCATTCTCCCCATTCTGCACAAGACGAAGAACCCGGACCCTCAGACCAGGAACCTGGACGACAAGTTCTGGATCTGCAGCAGCTGCAAGGACGAAGTCTCCGACGCCATCATCCAGCGGCTCCTGCAAGATATCGGCAAAGAACTCAGCGCGATGCCCAAAGAAGACCCCGATGCTTGCGAGAGGTGAAACTAGTTTTTTCTACGACGTAGTTGATTCGATAATAACAAAAATCATCTTTTTATACTCGTACCCCCTTATTAATAAACTTACACGCTCGTTGAACAGTGTTTTAAAGTGACGTTTATTATGGAAATGTGTACGATTATACCCGTATACCCACTTTACCTACTTATTGTAATGCAAACATACGTCATTTATAAGTTGAACTTCCTCTTTCAACATGAAAGCCTCGCTTATCTCGCAGAGTATCTAATCCATTCATAACCTGATAATGAAATGAAATAACTAACACATTACTTTGTAACGTAACAATAATATACTAAGAGTATAAGCCATTGTTTTTGCAAAACTTGTTTTCGTAGTTCACCAGCTAAGCATGTAAATTAATAAATTCTTCATAATAATAAAGCGCATATTATAAGAAGTCATTTGTATTCGTACCACAAGTAGCACATAAACTATGAAAAAAAAATGTGTAAACTCTATTTCCTATACATATAGGTTCTCTTATTCTGAATAGTACACTAACCGATAAGTTAAGATAGTTGATTATTTTTATAACATGCATCTTGCTTGGTAACCCTTGGAGCCAAAGGTGATTTTCCGAGTATTTTTCTAGCTTAGTTTCCGATGAGTTTGGGACTTGATAGTCGGTGGTCAAACACAATTCCTTTCTTGCTACAGATTCATCAGCCACTGCAGCAGCTACCTGCACCCGACGCACTACTACATGACGGACGTGAGCCTGGCGCTCGCGCAGATGATCGGCCAGGACAGCGAGTTAGGGCTGGCGGGAGTAACCGATGACAGACTGCTGCTCAAGACGCAGCTCTGCAAGAAGATTGCTGACCTTCTAGAGACGCTTGCACCAGGTACAGTCGAAAGCAGATCAGACTTTTTTGTTGCAAAATTGCGCCTATTACAACTACATAAGTTGCCACAGTGATTACTCTTGATCTCTACAATTAGGATAAGGCTGGCAACTGTGGCGATAGCTCTGCAAGAAGATATGTACGAGTAGATGGCCTTTTCAAGTGTCTGGATCAACTACAATCACGTAATAATTTTATTTCAGAAGCAGACGCGTGTGCTAAAGAACAACATGAGGCTCGTAAAAGTGACTGCAATAACTACATTTAACTTCATTAGATATATTTATTTGCAGCGGAAACGCGTCTGCGAGGGTCCCTGCTCTTTGAGCTTCACGCCGCCATAGCCGAGACTGGCAGACGAAGATCCATGGTCGAGGGACCACTGGCTTTGCTTGGTCATGTTACGGTAAGAACCATCTATAACAAACTTTTAGATAAATAACTTGAAAAACGGCGAAAAGTTGAAAAAAAATCATTCATTTTTGTCAGATGAGACCTAATTGTGAACACCTTAGTGTCTAGATCCTTGCCTTAGACCTTGTATCAGAAAGGAGGCTATTTACCAATAGTCATAAGACAAAGTGCCTATATCCTTCTCAAACTGCCCAACGGAAGCGTCATTTGTATACTTAGCTAACTAATACTGCAACTCCAACCATGCAACCTGTTTAGCTTACCCACATAAGAGTTGACAATCTAGTTAGCATGAGAGGAAGCCGAGCGTAAAGCCGAATAAATGAGCTATATTAATAACGCGGTGGGCAGCTCCCGCGGCGACTTTCGCCGAAACTGTACCGCGTCGCGCATGCGCGGCACGTCTGCACTGCTTTGTGCGCGCGCGCATGTTAAGCGGAGCCCTTATTGTGATCGAGTTGAGCGCTACCAAATTACAATTTTCCTTTAAAAACTTATTTGACGCATAAGATAAATTGAGAAAATAATACGTAGGTAAACACTAAATGAATTCTTTACCTATTCAAGGACTTTAGACCACTTTAGAATACAATTGATTAACTAATCATCCTTAATTAAGTTTATTTATTTATTTACTTTAAATGCAAGTTGGAAAATGTGACAAACAATTTTTGACTAATAATTAACTTTAAAAAAAAATAAAACCGACTCCAAATGCGTGAACACAAAAAAAAACTAAAAATTAAAAATATTGCGTATAAAAAAGTTCATCCCCAATTTTCCACCCTTAAGGGTGAAACATTTTCTTCAAATTCGCATGAAACCACCCTTTTGATAATACCTATTCAACAAAAAAATAATCGTTCAAATTGATTTATAATCGGCGGAGATATTGCGTATAAAAAAGTTCATCCCCAATTTTCCACCCTTGGGGGTTGTTTTTTTATTATTAAATTTAAATGGGACCACCCTTTAGGTATTACCTATACGCCGAAAAAAGATTTGTTCAAATCGGTTCATAATTGGCGGAGTTATCGCGTAACAAACATAGAAAAAAAACATACGGGTCGAATTGAGAACCTCCTCCTTTTTTGAAGTCGGTTGAAAACTGAAAACAAAGATTTCCTGAAAAATAAAAACATTCACCCTGATGCTGCTGCATGCTGAAAAAAAACCATATGAAATGATAGAGTAGCACCAATTAGCTAGCTTAAATTGTTGCACGTGGAAATACAGTGTAGTAGAGTTTGCGAATCTATGGTCTGCAAGATTAAAGGTGTTCAAAATGTACGAAGCATTTAAAAATATTTTAATGTAGATATATATTTATAATGTACACCAAAGCTGCGACCATATTAGTAAAAGTTGCAGTTAATTGTACCGAAGCAAAGCCGCGTAACGAGCTGCAGCTTCCGAGAAGCGGCGCGCGCGCACAATGCAGCGCTTTGGAGGCTCCGGCGCTGCGCAAGTAGAGCAATCTGCCTGATGCTCACATCGCTCGCTAATTTATCGATATCGAATTTACATTCGTTTTATATTCGATCGATATGTGCGTTAGGTTCTTCACTTCTTGTAGTCGTTTTAAAGTGACTGATTTACATTGTAAATTAATATTTTTGAATGAAATTTATAGGCCGACCCCAAATATTGGGAAAAAGAGCTAGGGAAAAGAAAAAGGAATTTATAGGCCTTTTTGTGTGATTCATTGCACCCAAATAAATAAATGAAATGAATGGCTAGTGTTCGCATCGAACACTTATGAAATGAAGATTGTTAAAATGTAGACCAGAATAACCTATCTACGATTCAGAAGTTATATAATGTGATGCACAGAATAACACATGAAAATGGGTCTTTTTTGACAGATTTACTTTTAAGTATTATTGTAAGCCAAACTTACTTATTTTTCTGCAAGTTTTGAATTAACGGCATGTTGTAAATTAGACCAAAAGTGAATTGCTAATTTACATAACATAATTTATCAGCCATCTATGAACTCCATTGCAAATTCTTAAGAATCGTCTGTCCTTGGATATTCTGTTAGCGTGCCATATGTATCTAAACCATCATAGTCCAATAGTCGCTAATAGATTCTGTAAAAAGTTAACATAGAACCTTCTCGACGATTTTATTGGTCAAGCAGAAAGTTTCGAGCGATTCGCGAATACCAGTCCACACCCGAATTGATGACAGTCTGACACACATATTATACGGCGAATTAATTATATCACAGCTGGAGCAAATCCGAGCATTAACTTTAGTTCGCGAGTGAAATCGCCGACCGCTAATAGGCTTCGTGGCGGTGCGTTCCTTGAACTTTGTCGGAGACCCCTGAATGAAAAGTCCCTGAACCAAAAGATAAGGAGACATGTAAAGTGCCCCTTAAGGACTGCCTTTTTTACTGTATTTGACGCTCATAAGTGCCACCAGTGGTCAACATTGAGTAAAATATTTTTGATTTCGATTTTGAATGGTATTCCCGAAAATATTAATACGAAATTGCCGAAGTATTATAATTTCTAACGCACCGTGTGACTGCAACCTTATTTACGAGTACCTATTACCGATAAACGTAAACGAACACAAAATGCGACAGTTCCATTAAAATGACCGATCGTCTTAAGTTGAATATAATATGTCCATTACGTTCGTTTACAGGAATCCCGCAAGATCCTGGTGGAGTCAGCATCGCTCCTGCGTCACGAGCCACCCGAGCTACCCGAGGGCCGGCTGTCGCAGCAGGCGCGCGTCAACCTGGTGCAGATGGACGAGCTCATCCGCAGCCTGTCGGCCACCCTGCCCGCGCCAATGTGAATAAATTGTACTAGCTATTCGGACTTTTAATTACAATCCTCCTTCTGTCTTATGTCTAGTCATTAGTCTTGGTCAACTGACGTAAGCTTTCCCAAGGCGATGGACCACCATCTCCAAAAACAAGGTGGCTTCCTTCTTTGTCACGAGCCACCTGAGCTACCCGAAGGCCGGCTGTTGCAGCAGGCGCGCGTCAACCTGGTGCAGATGGACGAGCTCATCCGCAGCCTATCGGCCACCCTCCCCGCGCCAATGTGAATAAATTGTACTAGCTATTCGGACTTTTAATTACAATCCTCCTTCTGTCTTATATCTAGCCATTAGTCTTGGTCAACTGACGTAAGCTTTCCCAAGGCGATGGACCACCATCTCCAAAAACAAGGTGGCTTCGTTCTTTGTCACGAGGCACCCGAGCTACCCGAGGGCCGGCTGTCGCAGCAGGCGCGCGTCAACCTGGTGCAGATGGACGAGCTCATCCGCAGCCTGTCGGCCACCCTGCCCGCGGCAATATGAATAAACTGTACTGTCTATTCGAACTTTTAATTACAATCCTCCTGTCTTATATCTAGCCATTAGTCTTGGCCAATGACGTAAGCTTTCCCAAAGCGATGGACCACCATCTCCAAAACCAAGGTGGCTTCCTTCTTTGTCACGAGCCACCCGAGCTACCCGAGGGCCGGCTGTCGCAGCAGGCGCGCGTCAACCTGGTGCAGATGGACGAGCTCATCCGCAGCCTGTCGGCCACCCTGCCCGCGCCAATATGAATAAACTGGAAATGCTTGAAAGCTATTCGGACTTTTAATAACAACTCTCCTTCTGTCCTAACAGCCAGCAGTCCACTACCATCTCCTTGATACCTACGTCAGTCTAAAATCGGCCACACATTGAGACCCCACTGCTTAAAAAACTCGTCCCAATAACCAATTTCACAGCCGATATAGCAAGAACGTAGTTGACTTTTACTAATAATGAGAAGGTGCAACTTGTCCTTGACACCAATTTCCAACTAGGATCAGCAATCTCCTTAGATACTGATTACGATCCCAGCTTTAAGTACTTTGCCTGCCCCGTATACCATTTCCCTACCATGTAAAGGTCGCCAATCGCTACTCAACAACTTTGCAACGATCACAGCTCTCATTGAATCCATCCATAACATCAATGAAATAATTACGATATTTTGTTTTGAAGAGGGATAATAAGGCGATATTATGCAGCAGCAAATCTAAACTGAAAATAGAACCCGGGACCCGATCAAAATTGCGCCTCCATCATAATATCAGACTTAAAGCAAAAATAATTTACTGGTATCATAAATCTAAGCTCAGACGAAAGCCTAGCCTCTTGAGCTAGATTGAGCAAAAAATGACTGAATACCGCGGCTGGCGCGACGGGTTGCGCTTCCTCGAACGCGGCGCCCGCGCCCTGATGTCGACTGGCCTCCTTGGGCACCTTGCTCGAGGTATCTAGGAGCATATTATAAAGATATTTTTTTACTATAGTCCGATTTTTAATTCGACGGAATTCTGACAGCTGTCATTTTTTGACAATTCAGATGTAATAAGCCTTTTTTGCTTTGAATTATTAATAAATAATATGAAATGAAATTTCATCAAGTACAATTTACAAGAATGAACTATTTTTTGTTTTGTGATTTCAATGAACACTAATTATTATGTACATTTTAGAGATTAAATAGAAAAAAACGTGTTTTTAACGTAGTAAAACAACATATTATCATAAACGAAAATATGTATTGATCATCAATCATCATTATCGTCATCATAATCAACTTGGATTATAAAATTGGCATCTTGTTAAGTTGATTATTTTATGAAGCTAAGATTTTATTAACAAAAGGATTTTCATAAAAAAGGTTTGTAACCCATGGATTATTGGCCAGGGAGACCAGTAATAGAAAAATAATTTCCCAATTTTTTTTTGTAACTTCAAAAGTATGATAATAAAAATTCAATTAACCATTTTGAAATGATCGGTACATTTTTAAGCCTTAGTTTTTCAAGTGAAACCTTAAATTCAAGAAAGGATTATTTTTTAATTTATGAAAATGCTCTCCATTCTTAGTGGGAATGTTTCAGTGTTGACAACACTTCTGAAATGTCAAAATTCCGTCGAATTAAAAATCAGAGTTTAGCTAACTTGGTCAGCCAAGCAGCTGACTTTGCAACAGTCTAGTCACTTTAAGATCACAGTTACATTTGAGGAAGGCCGCAGCTTTCTGGTGTCTGGGCTACTTTACTAGAAGATGTTATAGAGTATCGGACCAAGTACAGAGTCCTGGGGTACTCTAGCTCTGCAGCTAAAAAGAGTAGATTTTGTCACCGAGTTTGATTTAAAACTGTCTGTCACTGAGATAAGAATCCATCTGCAGATAGTAGAAGTGTGCTAGAAGGTACTTTTAAATTTCATAGAGTAGTCCTTTATGATAAACCCAGCCGAAGCCGCAGCGAAAGCAGACGTCTAGGATTTTTTCTTTTCCAAACATTGTACTGATTATGGTTGATATGGTTTCTGCCAAAATTTATGTTCGGGTATACCTACTATACTATATTACATGGGTCATACTTAGGCAAGGGAATAAACGAGCAAGAATGATCCTTTTCCATAATTTTTACAATACAAATGTCAGATTAATTGAGCGATAAGAGAATTCGTTAGGCGACTTGCCAGCCTTATGGATCATTTCCAAAGTTAAGAGACTTGCGAGGTTCACACTCAGTGTGGTCATCGTCAAGACCATGGACTTCATGGTGATCAGATCAAATGCAAGTGCTTTACGAGGGTCCATTTTGGCTATTTCTTTAGCTTAGCCATCTCTCTTAGCGTTAGTTCTTTCGTTTCAGCCGAAAGACGTCCTGCGCCGCTCGCATCCAGGCACTTCCTGCGACCTTCCCCAAATCGTCGGTCCACCTAGTGGGAGGCCTACCCACGCTACGTCTTCCGGCTCGTGGTCGCCACTCAAGAACTTTACTACCGCAGCGGCCATCAGCTCTACGAGATATGTGCCCCGCCCCCTGCCACTTGATTTTAGCGATTCTGTGGGCTAAGTCAGTCACTTTGTCCTCCTGCGTCTTTCGTCCTCAATTAGCGTAGTAGGGATCAATCTTTTACTTTGAACTTGAGGTGGGTAAGCGGAAACATGGCGGTCAACTCCTCAGATAGTCAAGTACAAAGATGTCCAGAAGCAGCATATGAAAATATACTAAATGAGCCCTCTCAAATCACAATGGGAAGGTTTGGCAGCACAGCACCTAGAATGGCGGGAGATTGTGTTGTGTAGAGGCGAGTCCGCGAATTCAACGAGCAGCGCACAACTGAATTCGACGCAAAACGCGATGATGTAAATCCCGTCCATCTGCCGCCATTCACTATAATTATGTTGGCGGCGGGTAATTACTCTCAATGTGCGAGAAGTTTAGGTACCGCGAAGATCGGCTATGTAAGCCATCTTCGGGCGCACCAGCGCCGCTAAGACAGCTAAGTCGAAGTGGTCACCATGACCGTAATCGGTCGGATGAATCATCATCATCAGTAGGAATCAAAGGCAGGGATTGTTGCAAGTCTCAGATCAAGTCCAATGCTTGATCTTATTTTTTTGATTGAATTATTAAATGTGCGGAAGCTAACCTGCGAAAAAATTATGCCAACCACATAATTTACATTAACTCAGACAGTAAGGCCGCGCTGATGGCTTTAATCACCTCAAAGTTGGTAGAAAACTGCATGAGTCGACTGAATACCCTAGGAAAACGTAACAGAGTAACGCTGAGATGGGTTCCAGTTCACGCGGGAATCGTGGACAGTGAAAATGCCGACGAACTGGCCAGAGCGGGAGCGGAGGGAACACAATATGGTCCAGAACCCTTTTGTGGCATTCCCAAAAGTCTCGCTCGAATGACCTTGGAGAACATTTATTTGAACAAATCCTTTAAGGCATGGTCAGACACGCCAGGATTAACTCATTCCAAAGCTCTCATAAAAACCTATGACCGAAAATGCTCTAAGCAGATCATAGGACTGAGTAGGATCTTTCATGCGCAAGCGGAGCTTACACCTGGGCAAATACATCCTAAGCCCACAAGATGTAAAACATATCGCCCCCCAAAAGATACTGTAAGGAAAATAGCGGCGATCACAATAGATCGGTCCGGTCGCAGTGATACTAGGACTTTATTGAACTAGAATAGCCGCTCAACTCAATAAAAAAATAGTTCTTCTGCGTTCGAAACACAAATTAGTGCAGTAAGGAGAGAAATGAATTTCAAATAGTTTGTACAGTATCAGTATCGGCGCGCCGACAGCTGGTCGTCGGCGGCGGCGGCGTGAAAAAATTCGCGGCGGCGGCGGCGCGCCGGCGTGGCGCCCACCTCTACTCTAGTTACATTTCTCCCATCGATTCTCAGCTCCGCCGCGTAAAAAACGTGTTTGGGATATTCACCCATTATTATTATTATTTCTTAGGCTTTTTTTTTACTCGAAGTCCATAAGTTCTTCGGTATAACGTTAACTCACGGGCTCATGCCAAGTGAGTTACGTGTTCAGAGTTGATTGCGGAGTTGGAGTCGTCCTGCATGAACTTTCTGACGATACGACAGGTGTTGAGAATCGCTGCCTTTTGCATAGTCATATAGATATTTTCTTTAATGTCAAAATTGCGTTAATTATTATTATTATTATCATTAATCAGGCAAGCCAAAACGTAAGAGGCACTGCTCTACATATATCTCTATATGGCGCATGTATAAAATATTTTTATTAGGTAAACAAAATTGTCCAATATTATGAAATGTGTAGTAATTTGATCAGGTCGGCCTAAAATAAAAAAAATGATTATGATTGTTTGTGCGGCACAATATAAAAATGTATAAATTAGATTCCTATAAAAATATCTCTGATGCAATGCAATTCGATTGAAACTCGTGCCAATATACCATTCTGCGACTTATTAAAGCCTCAAGCCAACGAATTTATTCAGAAACGCTAACTATGATAAGATAATATTAA